GATGCAGAAGGCAGAAATAGGTCAACGAGTTAGTCATCGGGGCAATGGTCCTTTTGAAAACAGGTTCAGAAGTCTAGCAACTTACTTTTTTTCTCCATTATTTTTCAATTAGCGAAGCGTTGATGCTGTCAGTCTAAAGGATTTTTTTGTAACCAAAAGCTTGCCGACGTTTCTTAATCTCATAGATAAGGCGACATAGGTTTGCACAAAGTTGTCTTCCATAGGCAACAAACGAGGTATGGACGGTACCTCCCAGTTGCCCACACAGTTCTATATACAAATCATGGTTACCTTGCACGTGATAACAGCAACGCACACAGATAAACATGTGTGATTATGGCATCTGGGCATCAAGCAAGGATAAATCGGCGGCACGCTAAGCAGCCCCTGAGTACGAATTAAAAGTAAGAGGCGAAATCAAACTCGTACTGCGTTTAGTCTGTTATCAAGATTTTACAAGGAAACTCCTTAGAACTCTGAGACCCTGTCCTGGCTCGGTTGATAAGATCATGCTGCAGCGCGAAACATTGTACGTCGGAGGACCTTACCACCTTTCACTTCTCCAAATTGACAGTCATATCCTACTAGATGCGGAACGCCTTTACAGAAGATACTTGGTTACAATTTGAGATTGATTATATATATTTTTTCGGTTTTGAACGTGCAATGGGCGTCCCAAATCGGTAGACGCGACGGCGACCGACATGACGTTGATGCGTGATGAATTTACATCGGTAGAGAAAACAAAAAGCCTCCAGTCTCCCTTCTGTGTCCAATTTCCGTCTATAGCTGTCTGCATAGACAAATCCAGAACTGACCTGGCGACGCGGTCCCGCCATAGCAGCGTAATAAAATACCCGCACAACAACCGAATGAGGCTCCACGCAGTCTAGCACAGTCAAGGGCTCCTCGTTTCCTCCCTCCCTCCCTTCCTTTCTGAATGTCTGACATTACGTTGAGCGTACGCACTGACGCTATAACAATACATACGAATATAACAACAATCATTACTAGCTACAATGAAAAAAAGAGGACAATTGTGAGTCATACATACGCAATGTATGTACACCCTGTGGATTCTATAGAACTGGCGAAGCAAGCACATAATCATCTGGACCGAAACGCCTGAACTAGGTCTTTTTCAGAAGCTGCTTTTTTGCTGTATACTTCCATTTACCGTCTGTATGCATAATCTATAATATGTAGCCAATAATACATTGTAGGGTTCGTATATTATACATGTTTAAAGCGGTGTCAGTTAATTAATGGCGTGTTCGAGTGTCGAGCCGCCAGCGTACCGCGGTTCCAGCTGGCAGCGGACATTTCCAGAGGCGATCATGCCCATATTCGTCTCTTTGAGCTCACCCTATTACGTCGCTTGCAGCATACAAGTAGAGTGATCTAGTCCAACGTAGTGAATTGTATCGTACGTAGCCATCGGATTACAGATGTGTTTCATAGACGGAACAGGTACGATACAGAATTTCGAAACTAACATCGACCATTGCTATAGCTAAGAATACTGTTATATGTTGCTGGCCAGTGTTTGTGTCGCGCAGAAGAGCATGGTAATTACGGCAGCAGGTGAGATGCTATTTACGCGCAACTCGTGACGATAGCGTTGACGATCCAATTGAAAACACGAAGGCATTCATTATCCCGTCTACTCGGCCCGTATCGTATGGCCTGTAGATTCTATATTTAGGCTCCCGCTTCCCGCATGCGTTTGTATCAATGCAAATGCTTGTGGATGGCAGAAAAGTAAACTCATGCATATGCACAGTTTTCACAATTCAGCTAAAGAAAAAAAAAAACGAGAGCAAAAAACATTGCATTATAAATGAAAATGATGAATTAGCTACGGCCTCGAGCGATTACAGGGAACCTCTTTTCCTTCTTCTGTTGAAAAGGATACGTGCTAATGCATGTACGTCTAAGCCGATCACTGTTTCACTTCCATGCTGCATCTACACTGATGTCAGAAGACCTACAGTATTTCTCCGTCAACGGACCATCAACGGTCAGTCTGACAGATGACGCCATTAGTAGCATAAATTTGTCAGCGTCGTTCTCTCCCTTGTACAAAATACGCTTGGAAGGATCCAAAACGTCGGCCGTTTATTATACGACAGAATCATCTTTAACGCTTCTTTGCATGCTGCAAACGAAGTGGCCATTGCGCTGACGCGACTTTTACTCTCCATCCTTGTCTCTAGCTACATATTTATTGTCTTATAATAGTGATTTGACTCAGTCGGAACTGCTCCGGGGGGGACTGCCCCTGGCGATAGCGCTGCGAAACTCAACCAGGCTGGTCGCCATTGAAGCTTGTGTTGCCGGTAAGCAAGTCTTGCATATCGCCTTGATCTTTGTCGCTCTAGCTTATAGCAAGCAGCGGACAAACGCAGGATTCATCGCCTTCTAGCTGTTTCGTTCTGTTCTCCTGTTACTTTATCTGTTCTATGGAAGTATCATCATTGCGATCATCGTATCATCGTAACGATCCTGACAGTGTACCCAGTGACCCAATGAGTCATAGTGGAAATGACAGACGCGACGATAGTCTTGAGTCGTCTTGGGCGCGCGTTCGGCTAGATTCATTAAACATAGCTACAGAGTTGCTTCAAGCGACACGCTATCACATTCTAAATTCATGTCAAAGCTCAATTTTCGTATGGTCAGGCCGCGGATATTGTAGTCTTCACTAGCGTACGAATTCAAGTAGAATCTGAATTGTAGCTTATGTTTTCTATGCTTCTGGGTTACGCGTACCGCGTTCCGGGAACGTAGCTGGACGTACTGCATTACAGTCCGGCCATGTTTTCCGATGGCTATCACTCTTATGTAAAGACTAATGGTAGACAAAGCTGTAAGCTGAACGAAATTGATAGAAACGTCCGATACGGATAATGGACAAAATGTTTTCCTGTAAGAAGTCAGACGTGACATCATAAATGACCAGCTTCATTTTCTGCTTTTTATGATTTAGCCAACTTCATTATATCGTGTGATGATAAGAGGATAAAAGAAATCCTTTACACTAACAACTGAATAACTAATTGCTAGCTAACGTCGAATATTACAAACACACAACCTTACCTAAATATTTCAATGAGCCTAAATAGACACTGAGGTTCGAAGCTTGAGATGTGTTGCCGCAACGTTCCCTGGATATTTGACAAGAAAAAGCGCATTTGGGCTGTGCTCTTTCGAACGCGCTCGTACGTTCCCAGTTGAAAGCCACTGCTAAAAGCTCCCATCTGCGAGCACCAATTACTGCTCACGTCTATTGTTACGTCTGTCGATTTTTCAGCGCAACTTCGAGATAGATCGCTGGCAATCTTTTTTCTTAAAGGTACTGTTAGACGATCTTTAATGTAACGTACAACATCTTCACTCCACTGGAAGATGTACTCACATGAGCCCACGGCAAATGCGTTCACAAAAGCAGTCGTGTGAATTCCCGTTTATTTAACTTGCGAATTCATCCCGGCGGGCCATCGATCCCGTAAGTCTGCGTATAGCTCTAATGTAGAAATCAAAGCATAGATTGTTCGACCAGAATGACGTAAGATAACGTTGCCAATCCATATATGGCACAGGGTGCTCTTTTCGTATGTTATACCTGTACGTAGTCAGAGCTCGATAATTTGTTGCACGTAATATTCCCTTGCGCCACAACGTTCGCAGCATCAAATGGCGAAGGTAAGAGGGCAGTTTTATAAGATATCGACATTAAATGCAGTAGAGGACATCAATGTAAAATTAGCGAGGAAATCGGTCCTTCAGCTGGGTACACCTATATCAGACGCAACGTAGAACAGCATCCACTCATCGGCGGCATTGCACGTCGACGGTACAAAATCGATACCGACGCTAAGGAGACCCGACCGATTCAGCCGTCTGCAATATACGTAAAGCGAAAAGTTTAGACTATTTATATGTTATATGAACGTTTCCATTCGGCTACGAACGAGTAAGTTAAGCTAAGAACATTATAGCAAAATTTGTCTTTGAAATCATAGATTCTAAAACTGTAGCCAGTGCTATGGTACAATTTCCACTGTTAGAACTTTCGAATAACATGTTATGAAATTGATAGATGAAGTTTCGATGAGGTGCATTCCAAAACAAGGAAATCCCAAAAGCTGTATCCGATGTTCAACAAAAGGTAAACCTAAATCCGACGGACGCGTTTTAGGCTGGGTGCGCAACATCATACGATACCGACAGTCTTGCCGCGTCGATCAACATACTGATGGTCGCCATATTAGAGGTTCTATAATATTCCGTTGTATACTATAACTGCGGAAAAGAGAGAACCACGGCACAATGACGAAGTCGCGAACTTCAAATGTGAACCGTACAGCCGATCTTATTCAGTAGCTTCGAATTTATCTCAGCGTGGATTGTTAATTCAATTTTTTTGTACGCCAGACAACTGTGATGGGAAACATAGAGATAGTTGAACCATCATTACATGTAGTTAGATGTAATTCTCTCGTTTATATTCTTTAAAGTTGTTTGTAATGCCAGTATAACGTGCTAATCTATAGAGCAGACTCGAACACCATAGCGGTTGCGATGTCCATACGCTTACCGTTGTTATTGTTAGATATACCACAATGCTGCTCGCTATATGTGACTTGGTAGTGAGTACTTTATTGGGAATATATTTTACGGAGATGCTGCAAACAACAATTGCGGATGGATACTTCTCTCGACATTGGATGACTGATGCTCGTTAGATCCACCATTGCATCACAATTAATTATAATACAATTAGTAGAAGATTAGACAAGATATTTTCCTGTTTGCTCACGTTATCCGAGCACACGTACGTAGATACAGACGCCTGTCATCTGGTGTATAATAACACTCACCTCAATATATTTATTAGCGAATAATGGCGCAATAAGTCGCTGTCGCTTTGTTTGCTAATCTGTTTGAGTTCTTCCGTTTGGCTGTTTTTTTTTTCTTACCCACCTGTGTATTTGCAGATGCGGTGTGGGCGTTTTGCGTGCTGTTCGTCGCACGCCAGGCGTCCGCTGGCCACGGCGATGGCGGCGGCAGATGGCATCAGCAGCAGCACGTGCCGCCGGTGAAGTATGTCGTCAAGCACGTGCATAAACCCGTTCCAGTAGCAAAACACGTCCCAGTTCCTCATTACGTGCCTGTCCCGAAGTACATCCCGGTAAGTATTCCAAGTAAACGATCGAGTGTTTGACACCTTACGTCATATATGCGGACGGTGAAAGGCTGAATAGCTGTCGTTGTTGGTAACCGCTGTCTCATTGGATTTCCATTTCCCTATCTGCTAGAACATAGAGAAAAATGCGCATAGTGTGCGCCATTAATAAGGCATACGCTGTAGCTATAGCGAACGAGTTATCATATGAAAGCAGGAGTGAATTAGCAACACCAGCAGGCAAATAGGACGAAAAGCTAGCGAAATAGGGAAAAAAAGCCAGGACAAATGAACCAGCAGGATAACGGGTGAACTTTCTTGCTTGCGGATCTCTAGAGGAGGCTACTTTTTACCGTATAATGTATTCACAACTAAATAATCAGGCCAATGAAGTCGAAAATCATGCAATTAGGCCAATCGCTGGTTGCTTTTAGTCTTTATGTGTATACTCGTCTGTATATTCTCATATCTTACTGGTAATCCTGTGTATATAGAACGCAGTAAAAACGCAGTGTACCGCAATAATTTTCCATGAAGGTCAGTTCATCTCTGATCTTTGCACCTGATACATGTTTAGTTTGTGTCCTACGCCTAGGTTCCAGACCATCACAATTGTGTGATCGTTCCCTGCCGAACCTATTAGGTCATCAACTGTTAACAGCTTTAATCGAACTATCGAGAGACGGGCGAGCAAAGGACCTCACTGCGTAACTTTGGCGGATTTATTTTGTGCTTATAATATGTCTTACTGGATAGAATGGCTGACACAAAATGTAACAAAACAAAGAAAGTTAAATATTTCAGACAAATACAATTAATTGGATAGATGCTGTGTCTAATACCAAGTTGTAACAATCCGACAAAGGCCTTAAGATTCAGCTTTCTTTCTTTCGATAGTTTATAAGGTAGCGCTTTGTCAGGACCCTTTAGCTGTACGTCTAGTATGGTAACCTGACCTTTGACAGATCTCGAATGCGATGTTTTTGAAGACGGAAATATTTTAGCTTCTTCCACTACGATTTGCCGCCACTTACTGCATCCATGGAACAATTTAGGCCTATACAGTAATGGTTCAATTATTGTACACTTTGGCCTAATAGTCCCATAAATTCGACGCCTTCCGCTAGCTAGCTGTCGACTTTCGTAGTAGTTAAAGTACTTATGGCAAACATTTGTAAAGGCAAATGTTATTTATTTTTGCAGTATTTCGAAATAGTACTCTCGTACTCGAAAATGGACGTTTATCTGTTGAGATTGATAGGATCCTAACACCATTAAATCACCTTATCTTCGTGTATTGGAGATCGTTGCATTTTAAACAGCGAATTGTCAAATCGTCTACTGTAGGGAATATAACAATCTGATTAATTAATGAATTAGTTAATTGAAATAAATAAACTCCGCAGCAGATAGGCTTCTTTCGAGTTGGCTAAACGTAGGCCACAGGGTACCTTACAAATAAAATTACTAGCAGTCGTTGTACGTTTCCGTCTAGCTACTACTAACAGGCTAAGCTAAAGATACCATCGAAACTAGTTTCAATAAGAGACCCACTTTCAATCACTTGACCGAACCGTATGCACGCGGACATGCCCATGCCCTTGCCCTTGCCCTTGCCCCTTCGCTGTGTTTCACTGTCTTCGCTTTTTGACGGCATCACGCTTTCGCGAGCGATGGGTAGCTGTCTTCGCATAAGTACATACACCCACAGATACAGGCATATCTAAACATGAACCTATCTATCTATGAGCAATGAGATGACTTTTTTGTTGCGTGCATGTGTGTGTGACACAACTTTTGCGTCGACCATAGACTACAGCTTTCATCTGAATCGTAATTTGTATTACAACACCACTTTTCTTCCTTCCTCTCCATTTTGTTTGCTTGTTTTGGCTGTAGCGTTGCACAAAGATGCCCCGGTCCGTAACTACCGCCAATGATATTCATGATATACTACCTACATTTTTCCAGGCCATCCCAGATCATTAAAAGGCCCACATATTTATTCTGGTATCTCCCTTCATTTAACTGTGACCAGCATCAGCGTTGCCGGCTTGTGTTTGTTGTCCATGATGTCCATTTGCCCGCGACCTCCTTCTATAGCTTAGAAGTATCAGCAGTATTATCTGTAATAACGTTTGCTCACCACTGCTGCCGCTGTTGTTGACACTTAGAAGAGAAGGTGCTGTTGGACTTATCTATAAATACGTACCCATACGCGGTATTACAGTCGTTATCGACTATCTAAAACCCTTTGTTTTCACGTCGTATGTGTCAATTTCATTATATCGTCATTAGTTGGTTCATTGATGTTATTGCTGCGTGTCGCATGACGATAACGGCTGATGCAGAAACGGCACACCATGAGACTTTTAGATGGAAAGCATCAGGGGATATTGCCATGTCATGCTATATGGGCTGGCACCAAAAAGACGATGCGGTGCTAATGCTGGTGCCCGCATCAAGGCAAAAGCGAAGTTGGATGTACATACATCCGATCCATCCCTATAATTCAAGTAGTGCAAACTTTCGTTGGTCTGCGTCTTCTGCTCCGCTGCTTCTGCCCCCTACTGACGAGCTGGGTTCATGTTTTCGCAACTGTTGGGCTTCATCCCGTTTGAGTCGAGCTGGGTCAGGTCATTCGGTATGACTACTACTGCTCAGATAAATCACTTTTGTTCCGTTCTTTTAGTTATGGGAACGTGTTCGTCGTGGTACGGGGCACAGCGGTAATAAAGAAGAGTGAATAACAGATACGATGCCTATTTCGTGCCGACCGCACGATCTATGCCTGACGTCGTCAAATGTGGACGGGTCTCTTGTGCCTTTATTAGCTGCACTTGTTCCGTTGTTTAAAACGTTGGTGATTTGAAACTGCTAACTTTTATCTAGGCAAAAAAACAAAAGGATAAGATATCATCTGTAGGAGGTCAACTTTTCAGCTTAATTTGCCCGGTACGTTTTAGTGCAAGTGAGAATAGATAGCTTTCCTTCTGCATCAAACACGAAGTATCTGGCTCAGCGACTATACATTTCTGTAGACGCAGGCCAAACACCGATTCGTTTTCGGGGCCTGCTAGATCTTGTTTCGCCTTCGTTCTTCATATGATATCGAATCGATGGTTTTTTTTTTCAGTTATCATAGACCGTGACGTTACCTTGCAGTCAGATGACTTTAAATAATGTCAATACAGGGAAACGATTAGCGGACAGATCGTTGTTATCCTTATGCAGTGTGGTATCAGGTACTTCGGCTCGCCAATTTTCGGGGCTGAGAGCGATAATCTGTACGAACTCCTAAAATATTTTACGATGAATGTCGTGAATAATATAGTCACTAATGAGATAAGCCTTAGGAGAGAACCTATGTAGATTGCCGAATGAGATGTTTTTCCACTCTACGGACGTTAGCGTTTAGGCCAAAAACCGCTTATCTGTTTGTGGTAATAGATATTTACTAAAACATTACCTATAAGGTTACGAGCAGAGGTTTATTTCCACCGAGTTTTTTACCTTGTTTCTTGTTCTTGTTCTGTCCTTGTTCTAACTTGACTATCTAGCCTCTAAGACACACACATACAGTCAACAGCATTAGATAATGCAATATACCGTATAATAAGCGATTGGTGCCTGCACTCGGTACAATAGAGTAATATTATTCAGAGGTTTCATACGTGTTCGATAACCCACCACGATTGATTCATTTTCTAACATAAATTAAACTAAGTGCCGCTCATTCGTTACTAAAACAAATTACAATGTTTTTCTTTCAGATCTTCAAGCCATGGGCTTATGTTAAGCCTGTTCCAAAGCACTACACCGTCTATCAAAACCATAATATACCAATTCCCGTGCCGATGTTTAAATTCTACAATCATCATACTGCCATACCAATACCCAAGCCAGTCCCAATGCCTATCCCTATCAAGGTAACGTACCCCAAACATGGCTGGTTCGTATACCAAACGCAAAAACATATTTCCAGATAAGCAAATAGCAACTATACGAATTAGTTGCTGAGATATAAATCATTCTCTAAACAACCGCCTTATCTTGAGGTTTGTATTGTTCACGTTCCACAGTATCTTATTGTTATTCCCGAGGTCGTGGGCAGCCATTCTTGCTTCATCTTTATTAGCCATATATATCAGTGTCATTCATTGGGAGCGGCGCGAACCTGTGCGAAGTTTCGATACCGGCAAATTTTCTATCGACCCACCTGATCTTAGCGGCTCGTTCGTTGTAGTTGATCTTGTAGATCGTCGTGGTTTCACCCGCGTGGTCGCTATTCGATTTGTTCCGGTTAATACCATGCCAACTAATGGTCACTCGGGTGTGAGAAATCGATCTAGCTTATACCGGCTACCTCAAACCTATTAGAGTAGAAAACGCCAGATCATGGCTATTTTACTATAATAATGACGGGTATATATATATAGTGCTACTGTTAGAGCCACCACTCAAATTTCTACCGGTGCGCCCATGCGTACAATAGTTTAATTGTAGCACCATGATCTGCGTGAATGAGCGACTCTGATAGCCCCGTCGTATAATGAACACCGCTGAGGCCGTCTTCTGCATCGCCGGCCTCTGGACAATCGACATTATTTCACAGTCATTAACACACATATACACACCCACTGGCATATGAACAGGCACACAGACGATCAAGAAGGCGAAACTATCGCAGACGAACAAACCGCCGCCGAAACGTTTCAAGTTCTTCGTGGAGGCGCTAGAAGCAACATATACAAACAACTATGTACACACACACACACACACACACAGATACACAGTGCTATTGCTGCGCAAAAATCCGTTGCTGTCAGAGTAAATATGTTTCTACAGATGCTTAGCACGAAACGCGTCGCAGGAACCGGGTACGGTGCATGACAAACGTCACCTACCATTAAGGCACCAATATTGTGTCGCATGCGTCTAGTGTACAAGAGTCAAAATACAGTAGATGGAGGCGATGTTTTACAATAAGCTACCAGAAGAAACAGGGCAGGCCGAAACAGAGACGTGGGTGATGAGAAACACATTGAAAAAGCAGTCCTGTTGTTGGTGGGTAGGCGTATGAAGGAGGTGCGCTAAAGTAACACAGGAAGCTTGAAGATGAAAAAGCGTCAGGCTACATAACGAAGATTAGAAAAAAAACATAACAAAAAAAGAGATTTGTTTTGAAGACTGCATTGTCGAGCCACAGCCCATAGCTTTTCCATAATCTCTATCTACCAGACATTACCGCATGAGATGGCAACAGGACAAATAACTGGGCCTTACGTGATTTATAATATAATATTGGATGCGAAGCACGTTCGTGCAGCCGACAGCCGGTATTGCCACTGTTTGGCAACGGACGAAGAAAATTCGTATTCGATAGAGACACTGAGTATGTGTGACGATGAAGCAAACAAAATCTTTATAAGTAAGCAAGATCAAGTAGTACACCAAATAAGCCCGAACGAAAAACGCGATAATCAAAATAATATATGCTATGTAAAAGTATGATCAAACGCTAAGATCGTTAATGTAGGATAGTACGGTGACGGCACAATGCTAAAAATAACTATAGCGGCACTGTATCCAACTATACGCTTCTGCGTGAATAAACTAAACGTAATCTGATTTACGGCTAGCGCAAAATATTAACAGGAAGAAAAACTACCCCCCAGAGGCCTGTTTTTACATTACGTCGAACTGATACACAGTGATTCGTGTATTGTAGTTGACGTGCCAGACGCCATTCACGGGTTACGTCACGATGATATACCGCCACATTCCGGAGACAACATCAACCTTTATAAATTACAAGTCCGTAACTTATTCAAGTAATATTTACGTAATTTCTACGAGGACGACACGAAGTTTACTCTAGCTAGAAAGAAACAGACGGCAACATTTAATTTCCACACGAAAACATCTGAAATGTAAAAAGATACGCGGGACCCCTGCGTGAGAAGAACATAAATGGATCGTCCCGTGAACTGCAAAGATAAAGATTGCAGGGAAATTTATATAACTTTCAGTTTGGATCACGGCTAAACAGCTGCTCCTGCAACGATAATTAATCATTAATTTTGCGAAGCAGTCTGAGGCGGCTCGTTTGTTGGTACCTGTGTTTCGTTTTCGCTAAGAAGAAATGTATTAACCTTATTATACATATATTTTTTTCAAATTTCATGTTATCTTCAGTTAGTCTGAGGGACCCCTCAGAAAAAATCTTCTTACGGGTTTATTCAATAACGTTAAATATTAGGGCTAATGTTGCTAGTATGTTTCAATTGCGTGCTCGATTAACTGCATTACGTATTATATGAACCCAATATTCAAGTTGTTTTTGTACACGATTTAACTTGAATTAACTCGTTTTAACTTTACAAGCTAACCTTACCCGGATCACTGCGCATTGTACACCTGAATCGAAGATCAATCTGGGTCTTTTCGTAGTTATTATATATTTCACTGATTCATAAGCACCGGTGTTTTGCATAGTTGTGAAAGTTTTTAGTGCGACTCGAATAACTGGCGGCCCTATAGATCTACATATTGGGCCATATTAGTTGCCTATGATGGGAAGCCTTACACGTTCTACGTTTCCTTGGTGTTTCTGGTTTACGCCACCTTCACATGCTCAAAAATGATTCTTTTATGCATTCTTCTCTAGCAATTTTGTAGGGCTGATTTCCTATTATCGATTATCGTACCCGCAGATTCCCAAGCCAGTGATCGTACCGGTTCCGAGGCCCGTCTACCACAAAAAAGAGATACCATTCCCAGTTCACGTTCCGGTTCCAAAACCAGTTGTCATTCCGGTCTACAAACACGTGCCCGTACCAATTCCGAAGCCGATTCATAAAGTCGTCAAGATCATAAAGGAAGTGCCTGTGTATATCAAAAAACCCGTGCCAGTATTGTAAGTAGATTGATGAAACGACCATGGATAGGCTAAACGAGTTCAAGTCACAAATGAGGTCCATGTCGTCAGCTGTGTTAATCTGTTCTTAAGCGGGAACATTGTAGCAAATCGAATTGTGGTCAACCATTACTAAGCATAATGTGCGCTTGTTTTTTTTTTTGAGCTTTTTTGAGTAAATCGTTCTAATCTATCTGTATTCGTCTATTCCCACAGCATTGAAGAAAAACATCAGCATAAAGGAGGCTGGAACACAGCCGCTTCGGAGCACAATCCGGCAATCATAGCCCAGGTAGAGGCCGGTGGCAGGGGTATCGGCAATAGCATCCACGATAGGACGCATGGAAATGCTCACGCAATAGCGGCCGCTGCGGCGTTCGCAGCTCACGCACACGGAATAGGGGTGCCGTTTGCGGACGCCGGACACGGCGGCGCTCATGGCCATGGACACGCAGTAGTTCACGGTGGGGGCTTTTCTGCGCAAGATGCAGTTCACATGGCTATGGTTCCTCATCTCACACACAACTCGTTTGGTAGCGGCCACGCCACACACGAAGGCGGTTATGGAAGTGGGCATGGGCACGGAGATGAAGCCGGCTATCATGCGAGTCACCCTAGCGATTTTGGGCCCGTTGGAGATCATGTTATAGCTGCGGCTGCCGTTGACGGCTTCGGAAGTAATGGCGCTCATACCATGAGCAAGAACAGTCTTGGCGGGGGTGGAGGCGCAAATGGACACGATCAACACGTGCGCGGTGCACAAGGTTCTCGGGCCGCAGCTTCTTCTACCAATTTCCGTAGTTATCAACAGTCTGAACAATACCAGCACCAACGGGTTCAACAGCAAAATCATCAAATCCACCATAATCATCAGGCGTTTCATCACGGCCAACCAGCAGCTGCTGCGACGGCAGCAGTAGCGGCTAGCGACGGCAAGGCCGCAGGATACCAGGTTGTTGCTCAGGTCGATATTGACCTTTCGGAGAAAAATAGGCAAGCTCCACAATCAAAGACAACGCTTCATCATTAGATATAAAACTAATCAACCTTATGCAGCAAAAGTGGAAATGAGAAATAGGGAGTAACAGTATAGCATCGAAGAATGTACTAACTTTCTTGACAGCTCTGTTGTCTCTCGTTGTCTGAGCTATTGCAATTATGGTACGACTTGAAAAGAAATATCGTCGGGAACTTAGTTGGTGATAGACGACATATTCATGTTTGTTCGATACGTTTACGTTTTGTACCGTTGCTTTAACTTCCATTTGACGAGGCGACGACCACCTGACCTCGTCGTTATAGCACAATACATTGATATAAGTATTATCATTTTTTATTATTAGCTGGTAAAGAGAATGTTCGACCAAACTGGTTATGGCCCTTGGTCGGCGTTCATAAGCGAGACAAAAAAAAAAAAAATACGAGGTGAAACAATGAAGACAAGTGCTATGATAAGAGTGAAAATTGGTATGGGTATCGGTTAGGCTGGAAGGTTATGCCTCTTCTGGGCATCTATCTCATTGTTTTGATTGCCATACAAAGTCATCGGTTTTCATCATATCATAATGACATTCATATTACGATCATTACGATACAACGCACGCTGCATATCCTACCGCTGACTTTCCAATCATGCGCCCATCCATAAACCGTATCACATCGTTACCATTTACTCAAGGTATGAAGCCTTTTGAATCGATTTGCTGAGTCGTAAGCCATCTAGAGAAGAACAACAACCTGTTACAGAAAGAAAAGTATCTTTTACTGAACGCGTTTTTTTTCCATATCCTGCTAACTTTACGCTATCGCGTCATCTGAACTTAATAGTGACTTTCTTATTTACAATGGGAGCTTTGCAAGGTCAACTGCCATCTTTGGCCTTTCGTCTCCGATACAAACCTCACTTTTGCCCTTTGCTATCCCGTACTGTTAGACGACTTTACCACTTAAATTCATTTCTGAACTTCTCGACAGCTTTTGACGTTACTGTTCTACTTAGTGCCGAGACTCCTCCGTAATATCATCCCTACACAACTTCGTTAGCCAAGGTGTGCCATTGTCCTCCCATCAAGATGTCCTATCAATCATTACCGATATAGCTAGACTCTAGACCTTTCGGAACGTTTTTATTACCTTTCCTTATACCCTGCCATGTAGTGCTTTCATGTTCAACCCGAAGGGGCATTAACTTGAGTTCCTCATACTTCGGTGCCACTCAACGTATTTACTTCTTTAGTTCTGAATTTCTGCCGATAGCACAAGTGGTAGTTATTGCTTGTGTGTTTCGACACTGACTTTTTCGAATTTTTTAAATCACCTTGTAAGGTTCGCAAACATACCCTCTTCTTTACAAACATTAACTACTCTTCTTCTTGAGACGTCGTTTTTTCATCATTATCTATTCGTGTACATGTTATTACTATGCTAGTTATTGGCTTCAAATAGCATAATGCTTTTCCACATCTAATGTTTTGTGGGCATATCTAGCCACTAGTGATGCTAAGCTTTACTCTCTTCTATTTGATCAATTTCCACACCACTGCCATCATCAATTCCAGTGGTTTTCTCATAGTTTCTTTTCTTCATGATTCTGCTGATTGTAAGATTAAAGAAGTATTTTCTGATCGTGCAGTGGGTAAATCTTAGGCGGTTACGGCAATCTGGCTTGTCGTATGGAAACTTCTAGCAAATAAAAAGAAGATTATAAACGAGACGCGTAAAAACAAAGTAAATCTGAACTGCCGGAACAGGGCGACCAGCTGCTATTGGAAACCGCAGAAGAGCTATTCTTGGCCAGCTTTTACCACCCGCATTGCCTTGAGTCCCCCCTCCCCCTTCCAAACAACGATCAATGTTTTTTCCTATTCAATCCTCGGACTGATCTGTACGTTCGCATATTCCACCTTTTTTTCAACCGAGCCGTCCCTGTTTCGTTGGCTTTTGTCCGTAGCAAGCCATGCTCCGTCTGTCCGCCCGTTCGTCCTTTCAGCCCATCTGGTCAATGCCTAATCGGCGAAGGTGGTTCTTTTCAAATTAACTGAAAGTTTTCTTCCTTCTTGTTGCTGTTGTTGTTGTTCTATCTCGACGTCTTGGCCACTTCAGTTTGCACGTCTTCTTGCTGTTATCATTCCTTCACTCAGCTGTCGCGCCGGCTAGTTCAGGTCGGCCATAACACAACTTCAGTCTGGTCCACTTGGCGCTTCTATGTTCCTGGTACATAAGCTTATTAGCTGACACCATGGTTCACTTTTAGTTCGTCCTATTTCTCGATAGTCCAACGTTGTTATTGGCGTTTCAATTGGAAATACCGACAACCTGAAACATAAAGATGATCGTTGTCCCTACATGTAGCTATATTAGACCGTTGACTGCGTAACAGCTGCTTTGTAGCGGTCAGTTTTGCCGATGCTCTTATATTAATTATAGTCGTAAGTACGGCGATCCTCAGCTGAGAAGGTGGCTTGGCTATTGTGCGCAGAAGTGCTATAGCCGTATGGTGGCCTCTTTGATTATTCTTTCCTTTTTTTTTTTTTTCGCAAGAAAAAACATCATTCTCCATACCTTCTTTTCATTTCGAGCAATTTTCGGCTGCTATAAGTCAATTGTTGTACAATCAACTTGGCAAAACTTTCGTTGTTGATCGCCCACATCAGTACCAGCGGTTTCGCTTATAGCACGGGACGAAACTACGGCCGAGTGTATAGCAGTCCGTGAGTTTGTGCACCTGTTACTCGTTGGTTATTTGTCTCTTTTCGAATGTGTGCTATGTTTATCCATGTGCTATGTATTAGGCCCACCCGCTTGTCGGGCTATAAGTGCGAACCTCTGCTTGTCAGAGTCATCTATAGGCGCTATATATATGCGTCAAGAACGTGACTATTTATGGGCGCGTTTGCTTGCTCCGATCTGGGCGGGCTCCCAGCATCGAAAGGCGAATATGTAATATTATGATTTTTACACCCGCTAGCCGACCCGATATGGAGGAGATGAAGATTGACCTGCAATCATTTGTTTTCATATTGATACTTATTATTAATACTATTACATCTACTAGGACCACGTCGTGTTGTAACTATTAGCATAATCAGTCTGAAAATGCGTCTGGCACCGGACGAAGAGCCACAGCAGCTCGGAGTAAAAATGGTAGAGGAGTCGAAGTAGCTATCGGGATGGATTGAGCCGTTTCGACTTCATATTGTCTTCACGATTATGCTGCTGCCGCCACCGCCGCCGCCATGATAACATCGCCAACCGCAACAAAAATAACAAGAACTGTTACCCCACGATGATAATAATGATGTTCATTCACCCTAAAGGACAGCGAACGCAGACAAACAAAGCAAAAATGGCACAGTTGAAGATAGCGGACTAAGTTGATTACTGTCGGTTTTTTATTGATATTTATTGTTGATGACCATACGTCACCCTCTCCCCTATACATCTATCTATAAGAATATTACATAATAACACTATGTGGTGTCGAAGCCCGTATATATATACGTATATATGGACAATGTCATTTGGAGTAATAATAAAACGACTATAATAACATGAACAAACAGGTTGGATTCTTTCGTTCGCGCTCATAGCGCTCGTAGCAACAGGGAAAGGCAGCGAGCCTATGGTGTAGCACAATTCAGTTCACGGGCTGGATCAAGAAACTCATTATCTTGCAACTATTGCGAAACATATCGATCTTCTTGCTTGAATCGCTTTCACATGCAGTATAATTACCTATATAATTAGCTAGGGCGGGGGGTTTGAAGTCATGCACATAGTCAGTGCCTTAACTTACAAATAGACAAATAACGAAGGGCATCCACTCCAAGTTATTCCCCAAGTATATCCCGTCGACTTTGAAAGAAAATTACGACACACTAGTACTTCATACCTAGGCTGTATGAGGTATATTATCACTTATAGTTTCCAGTGTTTTTTTTTTTTTTTTTTTTATTGTTTTGATGAATCCAGTCTCGCGTCCAGTACTTTGCTAGGTGTCGTTGAATCCATGCACGGAGCAACGAAGTTGGATTTCAAACTTAGATCATTATGCTCTCTCAAAATTTATCGAGCAGACCGTACAGACAGATTACTAATTTGTCTATAACCCACTCAATGGGCTAATTAAGGTGTATCCATCTCGACTCTTATTTGAGGAAGTTTTGGTAAAATATGTTGGATCCGATAAAATGAAAGACGGACCAACCTAGGCTAAGGATTTATCCCACTCTTTCATTTATTGGTGTTACCGCTTAGTCTGTATGGATTTATTAGCTCCAATTTCTAAGCTAACTTTACTGACTTTCCATTTTGGAGCGTGGTAAGGAACGACCTTAAACTCACACCAGTGTCTAGCGGCCATTAGGGTTGCCTCACCTTAACCAGTCATCCGACCTATAAGAATCGAGAGACTAATCCTACACAGTTTACTATTTGCTGTGTCGGCCTTGTGGGGTTTGCAGTATTCACATCCCAGTGACATCCCAGACCAGCCATCAAAATTACAGAATGACGTAGGAATACGTTGGCCAGAATAAGGACAACAAGGTGTTTAAGAAGCGTCGATTGGGAGCAAGGCTAAGGCAGAGCTGATTAACAGGTAGAACCAGATTTTTGAACTGCTTTGATTTGATGTCCATAAAAGCGATGACCCCAGGAAAGATAGCTTGTCTGCAGTATTTCTCATATCTCAGATGTTAAATCTACTGCGAAGAGAGCATATTATTGGAGACCATTAAACACGTGAGACACAGGAGCATGAGTATCCTTTTTGGGCTGGTAAATGACAGATAGGACCGTGCATTCGTCAGCGTACAATTGTATTTAAGCCATACACTATAAGGTTATACTTTATTAATTGTCTTTTCTATTCCTACTTTGATCTAAAATCGCATTGTAAAGCTAATGATTTTTATATTTAAATAAAGTACTTGGTTAAAAGTAGAAAATCTACGAAAACAACTATGAGCAACGTATTAATTTAGAATTTATAGAAAGCTTTTATGTGTGACTCTGCGTGTGTGAGCGTAGCTCTGACAGATCAAAATAAATTCATAAAGATCGAACCCGTATATCTTCAAACAACCACATAAACACTACGTCGATGAAAGTCTTTCGAAACAATTATCTACTATCAGTTCTTGTTGTACATTTGCATCAATGATTTTCGAAACGTTAGCTTTAGCTTTTAGGGCTACAAATAGTAAAGATAGTCTGACTGTTTTCTTAATACTGTGGGATAAAATACGGTGTGAGTTCTGATGGTCGTCGCAGTACGTGCTGGACATGACAAAAGATGATTCACACTTCAGACGCAGGCTATACGTATTTGGAATTAACTGTTCTACGTCTATAGGCACCGGTGTGAAAAATAGTTGCGGGCCGTAGTTAAACTTTGACGTCAGCAGGCACTGCCTATGCTTGTACCTAGCCTTCTTTAGCATGTAAAATCTGTTATATGTTGCATGAGCCTCGCTGTTTATATTACCGATAAATGTTATTATTATAGTTATTAGGTTAGATTAGATCATCGCGTCCGACAGGAAAGATGCAATGTGAACAAATGGGACGTTACCAAAGAGTTCTCTTCCATTTATTGATGAATCTGGTAAGTTTGCTCGTTTCGGTGGCAAGCATATGCTACTCACGGAGGTTTATCCAGTGTCACTCCTCTCTAGTCGGAGCTTTGTGCCGTTCAAAAGAGATGCCTCTGATTACGGCTAAGTGATCCCCGGCAGCGAGGGCCTGAGAGGAGGGTACCCGAAAACCCATTAGGGTGGAAAATCCCGAGAAATTCTTCGAAGGCTCAAATTAACCTAAGCCATATAAATATATCCGTATATGTGTGGTTGTGACCTGCAGTCTAAAGCGCTCCTAAGTCATATAAAGGCATGCGGAGTTATCCGGCACTTAGCAATATATGGCGACTGTACTAATTCTCGTATATAGATATAATATGTAATATTCTACTGGCACTTTTCACAAAATAACTGACATGTCTACCTCACTCATATCTACTTTAATTAGCAATGATATACATAAAAGTGATATGAAAATATTTGGTAAGGACAGAAAACGAAAATGCTTCCATGGTATGGATGACGTTTTGTCTCTCTTGGTTTTATGTCACACAGTGAATTTACCGTGCCTAAAATCATAGATGTTTGGTTATGACACCGTCTCACGATGTCCAGGATGTTCCGCGATGCATAAATTTGCATAACGTACATTGCGTTCAGGTCCGTAATGTCATACAATATCTCATGTCGCAGCTACCGTGTATAGGTTTCTCAGATGCTTATTTTAAGTAATATTTGTTGTTGCCTAGCGTCGTCTGCTATCGTGTCGGCTGCTATTCTTGGTGCTTCCGGTTTCCTCACTACTACCTGAAAAGCTTTTAGCGAAAAATCACGAGAGACAATAGTCACAATTAAAAGGGCTGGCGTTGTGCAGCAGGGGGTGTAGGACACAGTTAAGACTGAGCTATACTTTCTCCTGATTGCCATTAAACACAAATACCATCAAAGTCGATTCAGGACCTTTTAGCTGCTGTTGCTTCCGTTAATAAACAAAAGTTATGATGTTCATATGGTACGCCAGCTGGTAAATTGCAGAACACAAATTGGATTTGTCAGCATGTCTCTTTTGGAATGGTTTCATCGTCACTATCATGACTTTACATTGAGCAATATAAATGGAATTACCTTTTTAACAACAAACTGCATCGTCAATGTACAACAGGGAAATTATTGTAGTTTTGCCTAAATTTTTGATCAAAAATTAAAACACGTCGGCTTCACACGTTTACACTCGAGGTTACCAATTGCCTTAATAGTTGAGGCTCATAAGGAATTACTTTTTACGTTGTAATTCCATTATAATTTTATAGGTGTACTAGTTGGATACAACAGTACTGTGAACTCATGTTCGAATACTAAACATTTAAAAGTTATGTATATATATATATATATATATATATATATATATATATATATATATAGAAATTGTTCGTTTTCGACTCTCTATATCAGTGACTTTGTGTGCCTATAGCAGCGAATTATAAGTGAATTATATTAACTTTTAGCAGTCAAAAATTTCAAGCGATAGAAAGCCTTTTACAGCCTTTTATATACCGATAAAATTGTAACATTCGAATTACTATTTGTCGCAGAGGCTAAAAGCATGTGATATTTCTCAGACGTTTTAGCCTATGCGTCCTGAAGGACCAAGAGTAATGCGATGCCACTTCGCTGGGTGGCCTATTGCCGGAAAATAGATATCTCTGAGAATTAGTGACTTGAAGTTATATTGGCAAGTGTCAACAAATACTCTCTTTTTTTTTAAGTTACGTGTGTAGAAAAAATACATTGAGCTTCGACCCAGGTTGGAATCACTTCGTCACAGTCAAATGTCTTGTGGTAAAGGCTTCGAACGATTTACAGACTTCGCTGGATTAGTGTAGGTTAGAAATTTTATAATAACTCTTCATATCTTCCTTCATATCAACTTACCGCAGTTGAATGAGACCCAGAAAAAAGCATAACAAAAATTTATAATCAACATCAGCGACATCCTAATCTATATGTCTGCGGCTACCGCACGGACCAGTATCAGTAACAATATGTAATAAAGTTTGAAGATTGGAGAAAAAGCTAATAAAGAACTGAAGCTTGAAAATCTCTAAAAGACGAACTTTTTTCATCAAAAATTTTCTTATTGGCGTGCAAGCGAATGAATTCTATATATGTAAGGTAAAAGATGAAGTTTTATATAGAAAATTGCCGCTTATATTTTACTTTTTCTGAGACGTCCATAAGTTTTGTAATTAATATCATGTATCACAATGGTATGACATTCGTTTAATCTGCGCTTTTGCAAAACACGCAATTGAATTTTAGTTCTAGGTAAGAGATCGTTACGAGCGTATCATCTGCTGTTGTGGATTGGTTTTTAAGCGATCTAGCTTAGTCAAACGTACTTCAAATATTATTTACTTTTCTACGCATGTACTTGTTTTTTGGCAAGTAAGTAGAAAACTTTCCCTTTTGGGGTCCTAACCTTTCGCTGTAGGTCGCGAGCTGGACTTAGGGTCACGTATTTTCTTCAACAAGTTCTTCGAATAGTTTGTCCGTGACCTTTATGTGCATTTAGGCGCACAACGTCGATAGCATATTCCCAACAATTACAATTAGCGATGTAACATTTTTCTACGTATGGGAAACGGTCGAAACGGAGGCTTTAGATATAATACGTGTCGACCATAGTTAAAAAATGGGTTTGCCTACCTTAGAACGGCACATCCGAACGCATATCGAGCCTTTATAGTGGCGCCACTGTTGCATCAATAGTTGGATATTCCTAAGATAATAACGTAATGTTAATTAACGTAATCGTGTAATTAACATCGTGTACACCTGCATATACGTGCTGATGGCATGCACCAGCACACAAAAGACAACCAGCGTTATATATGCCCTATGAAAAAATACCTAGAGTCAGTACTGATCATACTCATTCGTTAGTACATGCAAAACGCGACTGCAATATCATCATTACTCAAACAGTAACAGAGAATGAATTCAGCTATTTATTTTGAGCTACGAATACAAAGGACCAATTGGGCATATTTCCTCAGTAAAATGCCTTTTAACGTCTGTATTTACAAATAAGAGCGTCCGTTAATATAAGTAGCTTTGTAAATGTTACACACAACATAATACCGCCATTGTTTTGTCCTAGTTACAATACGTAAGATAAAAAAATAAGGGTCAGACAGGTACTTATTCACCCTGATCAAATATAACTATACCGAAATGACAGATTTCGCGCCATCGTATTTTTCTATAATATGTCCTCTAACATCGTCGATGCAGTGGTATCTGTATAAATGAAAACAATTAATACATGGCCACCCTATGTGCGATGCACTGCTAATGATTATATATTAAAGTTACGACGTATTTAGCAAATCTCTCGTCTAAAACGCATTGACATGAATAGATTCACCTCGTGACGAGGTAGACGCGCTGTGGATAAACAAAACATATAATAAGCGAGAGCCTTCGAAAGCGTTCCAGTCCGACTTTGTCTTCCGATAGATATATATATAGGAGTATATATATATATATATATATATATATATATATATATATATATATATATATATATATATACTCCCCTCTCCAATACGTAAAAGGGCACAGTCTATCCTGATTGAGCTCTACTGGCCGGTGGGGTGTTGGGGGTACACGTGAAACATCCATTTTCGATTTATCTTGCGAAGCCCGATTCTGGTTAGGCCCTAAACGGAAGCGAATTTTTCGACGCTATCCCTAAGAGGGTGATTCGAAAGGTTTGTCCACATAGTCCATGTAGTCGAAAGCGTCAAAAAAAAGCAAACTTATCTACGACAGTTGACTCAGAGCAGCTGCATCTCAGGACGCATTTCTCCTTCTGCACATTATTAAAATCGCGCACCGTTGAGTTCCAGCGCATCACTCTCTGCAAACGGTCTCTCGCTTGCACAACTTCAAGCGCTGTGCTTACCTGAGCTAAGCAGGCCACATTCAAGTATACTGTCGTCTCCCTGTACATGAAATATTCATAGGTGAGGCTCAGGCCAAGCATAGGTTTCTGTGGAGTAGAGAGCTACGAGCCTTTCATGACAAGGCCGCTGTTGTCGAAATCGACCGCTAATATCCAAAGCCAAGTTTATGTCAAGCGCATTCAAGTATTGATATTTCAGATGGGCAGATATGCTTGTTTTCATAATAAATTACAACGCTAATTATTAACAATGTTATCGTTGCTTATTGAAAATCACAAGAATTCTATTTTTTCCCTATTCCATCCTAATCTATTTACAGTGCCCACTTACGAAATGCTAGAACTTCGTTTCGACTACTACACCAAGTTGAAATTACCCTCTAATTTTTTTTAAAGAGAGGGTGCTAAGTGTTTATTGAGCCCACTATTAATTACCGACCTAGTTGAACAAACAGGTTGTTTACCTCTGCGTAAATGGTAAGCCACGCGTGGCACAAATAGCGTAAGATGTATGTGTAGGTAACTGAGAGTCAGTACTTCGGAAAGGCCCGATAAACAAAAATGTTCTGGCAGCGTCTAACACGATAAACAACTCTAATCAATAAAAATTAGTAGAATAGCAATATACTGATTTTTGATTTCGTTGCTTACGCATATAGCTTTCTTTTACTGCAGTGTATTTCGGCACGATACTGCGTAAACAGTAGCAGCTGTCAGAATCTCTCCGATCACAACTTTTGTAGGGACTGTACCTCTCTGCTCGTTTACGCTTCTGTCGTTTTGTTGACGCCTCACCGCATAACAATAGGATATCTTGATCGCACTCGCAAAGGCAATCGAACAACCTCCATTTCCTCTATTGCAATGAAGAGTCCTATATATGGGAGCGCTGTTAACGCTCTGTTACGGCGTAACAATGGCAGAAAGTGACGCTCAAGAGGCTTCAGATAGTTTTGAGTAGAACAGTTAGTGGTAGGGAAAAGAAACACTGTTTAGTGAATACATCGACAGCTAGCTGGAGATCCTTGGAAGTGTGCGCAGGAAAAATATGAATCATAGTTATAGCGCTAAAGGTAACTTGGGTACAGGTACTTTCGTATTCCGCAAATTTTAATATCTAGCAAGTCTATACACCGGTAAATGCAGAATATTATGGCGCAGCTGAACACGGATAATCTTCTGATTAACATCTTCATTACAGAAAGAATTCCAATCAGGTAGAATCGCTAGCTAACTGTTAGGTAATTGTCGTTTTCAAATAGAACGCCGCATCATTTGCCAGATATCTTTAATTATAGAGTACCTGGAAGCACCAAAGGAGTGCATGAAGAACGTAACGCTTGTATCTACAAAATGATACTGCCTCAAGGTAGACTAAAGCATTCATTCTAAAAATCTTCGCACAGAGTCTCACTTAGCGCGACACGATTTCATACTCCAAACGTAAGTATATAAATCAGCTGGTTTTTAGCTTTCGTTTTTTTGTCTTTACCCTGTGCGGTACAAATCCAAACTATGAGGAAAAAAGTTGAAAAAAAATTGGACGGAGGGGTCATAGAGCGGGGCTTCATTAAATCATGATGCCAAATGTAGCGCCAACGTTTTATCATTTAAAATTTGCATAGGGGAAAAATTTGCGGTTACGAAATTTATGGGAAATCGAAAGGTAGTTGCTCTAAAGTATGCTGAATGATTAGCAGAAGGCAAGATTCTGTTTAGAACGAGCACGGGCCCTGAGACTTATCTTTTCAGGACTTAAGCGTATTATTGAGGGGCAAAAAAGATCATGAATAATGGAAGAGACTACGCAACTGGTAACATTGTTTTTAGTAAGAGTGGAAAAACGACAAATCAACTATACAACATGGCCTTCATATTCACCAGAATTTGGTAAACTACTATTTAGGCTCAAACGCTACTTATCAACAGCTGGCAAACTAGCTTAAACGATACGGTGCGCCACATTGTACCCGAAATACGTGCTGTCTCCGTAGAGCAAAAAACTATGGAATCGACTGATCGCACGAAAAAGTCGACCTGTTTCCTCTTTAGCATTGCGGTACATCAGAACGGAAGCCTTTCTTTTCGTACTCCCCACTCTCATTTTTGCGTCCTAACCAGCGTATCCAATACACAGCGGTAGTACGAATAAATATAACTGCATGTAGAAAATTGTCAGGTTAATCTCATAAGAGATATTCGCTTTCCAGCCGGAAATTTGATGGCCATGGTTCCCTTACGAGACGTGCTGATTGCCTGTGCTCGCAAAGCCCCAAGAGGATTTAGTTATACGAAGGGGTGCCTATATCAACAATAGTGAGAACTGCAAAGCAGAAAAAGGACAATTCAAATTTGTTTCCCTTTAGTTTTTCATGAGTGACGTTTAAAACGGCATCTTTTTGTAACGGAAAAGTTCAGATGAAAATTTGAACGAAGCGTAGGGAACCATTTTGTTCGAGCGAGGACACTCCGGAAATCAGCTCTTTCCATAAGTAAGTGAGAACTACATGTGTATGTATAGGGTTAGGTATCGAAAAAATTACCGTCATCCACACAACCGAATCAGATCAATGAAGTTGCTAATCAGCCTTTAACGAATTTCAGATTAGTTTCTACTTGTTGCCTGACAGGTCTCTCTCGACCTAACTCTCCATTTAGCGGTACTACGGGCTGAAAAAGTTGTTACTCGATCATTTTTCTCTCTGACTTGTCGTTCGTAGCGGCTAGCTATAATTTAATATTATCATGCCGAGACGCCGACATCTGAGACGTTCATAATGGCCCTCTATATATAGACAGAGGGTTGTGCCAAACGAATACGACGGTTGGTAAAATTATTTTAGAATACTGCAGAATCGCTGGGGAAGCTAAAACACTGGTATCAGCTGTGGTTCTTACATATTAATAGAATGCTTATGAAGCCTTTTTAAATGATGTAGTAAAGATGTGACACGATGGAGTAAGGGCTTAATCTAAGCGGCACCAAGAAACCCCTAGGGAAAAGATTTAACCGAATGCCTTATAACATTCTAAGAGCTTCACTCTCGAGTATCTATGCAGGCGACGAGTCAAGCAGAGCTGAAGCCTTTAGCTTTCCCTCATAAACAACATCGGCGATATTTTTTTACGCTCTCCGAAAGATAATCGTTAATTAAAAGTGAAAAATTTGCTAGGGCATTGATGCCCTCAGGAACTGGCAGACCTGAGCAAAAGGAATAAAAACCAAAGTGTATAGTTGCTTTTTACGCGCCGATACCGTGCAGAAGCTACGCCATGGGCTGTGGTAAAAAATCTCTGACGAGTTAACTTGGATCGTAGATTAACAAAATAAACTGTATACAACAAAATACCTGCTCGTTACAGTCTCCACACGAAACAATTCTATTCCTATATCTGATAACGTTACACATACAAATATCAGAGAGTCACGTAAGTTTCTATCATGTTCTGCATGCCCAGAACTTGTTTATGAGCTAAAAGCTTTTTAACTGCTCTATATAGGTACGTTTTCAACATAATTCCGGATCATAAACTTGGCGCCATTATATGTACTTAATATAATATAATAATAACCGAATTGAAGCACGAAGACCTGATGATTTTCGAAGTCAACATTATCGATATTCAATCAATTAAACAATATGTGAAGGATGAAAAGTCGTAACTGGATATGTGAACTCCAAACGTAAAAACAGATAGTAAAATAACAAATATAATTACAAGCGAGCTTAAAACGTCTATAGAAATTAATTGAAAATAAAAACCTAGAAAAAAAAAGGTATGATGAAAAAATGATAATACGTAAAGGGAAAAGACGAACAATGATTGGTAAAAGCATTGGGTAACATACCTTTCTATTTTTCTAACTAAATTTAGTCGTTTGTCGAAAACTAGGCTTTTACCGATCCTCGATCGATTTGACCTGTTCATTCGACGAGTGTTATTACGTTTATTTTTTAAGCACGCTTTTTACTTTGTAAAATGCCGCCAGCGCGTCCATTTACAAATTCAGACCAAAAGTAAATCAATAATAAAAGTGTATATCAAAAGCTTTCCATGTGCTCAAATTGACATGTTGAAACAAAATTTAAAAGCAACAAATAATAAGAGACTAGTAAAAGTGTGTACATCTAAAACATGCACACAAGATACAGTCGATATTGATAGTACATTTCCTATCTGATGGTTAGGAGGAGGGTGAGACGCTATAAATAAGTACTTTTCTGGAAAATACGATACGAATAATATGAAGACTAAGCTTTTGAAGGTCACCAACATTTTGGAAGACCTGGGTGTGGCGTAGCTGCAAACAATTTTCTGGAAACAGTACCAGACCTTCTAAAACCTTCGAAGGCTCATAGCAGACGTTCCCTAGGCCCCAATAGCGAAAATAGCTCCCTGTACGATTTTGTCAAATGACTTTTCAGATACATTCACATTCGACTAGATCTATTCTTTGGTTTTCAATTCTGTGTGTATCCTCCTCTGCTGTCGGCGAGCTTTTATATATTAAACATTTTTTACGACAAAATGTATACATCGAAACTTCTTTTTAACATGATCGGTCATGGACGTCGTGCGGGAGGTTTGTAGCTGTTGAGAAATGGAGAGGTTTTAGCAAGAGTACGTAAAAGGAGGAACAAAGAAAATCCGCTTAATTGCCAGGAAAGCTCTGTTTAGATTCTACTTCTCAAATAATTGCCATTCGGCCTCCCTCATATTATATAGATATACGCATACCTTTTATTATTTTTTTTAGAATTATCATTTTTTGGAAGGCATCCGCGGCAATGTTTGTCCAGAGGCATCTCTATAGAAGCCCTAGTTATATTCCACTGAGCTACTTGACTGGATCAAAGCAAGGGAAATCCCGTAATCTGCTAGGTTTTTATATGAACCGATATCGCATCTCGTTTGAGCATATCGCGGTAGAAACTGTTGATAGTGACGCATGACAGATCGATGATTGAATAGATTGATCTAATAACTGCAATATCGGTAGCTACATATGGGTGCTCCCTTAATAGATTGAACTCTGGAATTTTATGCTGTATGGCAAACTTTGAACTTTTGTGATACCCTTTGTGATCATTTGGTATAAGGACAATTGCGTTATCAAGTGGGGACCTAAATACGGAGACAATCTGATAAGCTGCTGCCCGAAGGACCACGTCTGGGTGTTTCTTGATCGCGGGAATTTACCGCAGCCCTGTGTCTTAAATGATCTTATAGCCATTTCAAAATTCAGCTCAGATCAAAATTCAATTTATTAAAATTACGTTGGAATTAATTGAGATCTATTATTTCTAGATTGAATAAGGACGCTGTCCCAAAGAGTCGTGTATTGGAAGCGGAAACTATCTAAAGGTACAATAGTTAGAACGTAGTCGGTATGATGATATGAAATTGTGACTAATAAAGGAGCTTATGTAGAATTAATAATCTCCGGAAAGATACAGTTGAAAAATGCAATCTAAGTCGAACTTCGTTACATTTGCGGGGGCCTTATCTGAGTAGGCCCAGACTACGCGATGACCCTCCCCTAAAAGGTGACCATTATATCTAAGTCTGTTACTTGATGGCAAAATGTAAATATGCTAACGCTAAATATTTACCGTAAAGTTTGTATTGCCACATGAATGAATGGTCCAGTTTAGCTAAAATACGAAGCGGAAACAAAACAGGTTTATTTTACCCCTAACTTCTAGCATTACCTTGGAATCAAAGGATACTTCCGTTGTGTCTTTTCACCTTTCTCGAATTTGTTATCCTGTGAGGTGCCTGAAAATGTTTCAAACTTCGAAACGGGCTATAAGACGATCTAGCATTTTCTCGGGTAATCCAGTGACCCAGACGCTACAGCGGGGCCCGAATTCGCTAACGATAGATGTAGGGAGACAAACTGGGCAACCGTTCCTATCCACTTCTTTACTTCTGTATAACGAGCAGCACTCGTGTGGAATCTCAGGACAGGTGTAGAAGTCGCAGAATTTCCTGCAATTATATGCAACACATAGAATGGTTTTTAGGCTAAGGTAGTGCTCCACAATAGGCAAATGGGTTTCGAAAGCTTCATCCGTATTATACGTTGAGTTCGACGCCGCAGACCTGCTACGTTCCGCCCGAATGTTGGAATACCTAATTATTAAGTAACTCAGCTCTGATCCATAGAACTGAACAAAGCTTCTCTTTGACTTCTTACAAAAACTTGCACATTTATACAGGAGCAGTTTGTTACAGCAAGCTGACATATATTGGCTAACTATAGATGCACCAAAAGGGAATCGTTGTGAAAAAGCCGCAGCTATTACTGGATTCTACATTACAAACTACGGAAAAACATTGTTCAGCGTCTAAAAGGCTTAGAGGCGGCCAGCAGTGTCATTTAACATTTCATTAGAAACCACCACTAGACTACCGCTTGTCGCATTCGTCATTGTTTCTTAATTTACATACTTGAAATACAAAATTGACAAGTATAATAGAATGTAACTAGTAAGTTATGAAGCTTGCATTACAATAAATAGTGGCTGTCTGCCCAGAAAGAGGGTCGGTGCAGTTCTTTCTTGGCGCGTACTAATCGTCCGTACTCGCAAAGCTTCTCGCGGAGTGCTCGACTGGTCGCTTCGGATCCGAGACAAGACCTGCAATTACACGGAGCCGCCTTGCCAAGAAGAGCATACTGCATGCATTTATCGCTCAGCTTGGCTTGATCCATGAGTCCTAGGACAACCAGGTAGCGTTGAAACCAATTCGATTCTGAAAACGATTGGGTTTTGTGCGTCGTTTCAAATAGACACGAGACATGGTGGCCTCTCAAGTCGGCTGAAAAAATAGCTGTTAATAGATAGGATACTATTTGTTAGTGACCGGCCTTCCTTACCGTATAACGTTTGCACGAAGTACTACATCATTCTGTAACAACACAGTGTAGAAGAATAAGAACCAAGTTTATTATATAATTGAAAACCTTAACAATAATAGGTCGTTACAGATATATTGCATCATTATTGTGGCTTTGCATTATCCGTATAGTTGTTCTCAAAATATGTAAATTTGTCCCCATAAATTAGTCCACAGAAATTGAATGTATTAGTAGATTTATGTTACATTCATCAACCTTAATTAGAAACGATATTCGCTTACAGTTGTCGGTTGGTAAACAGGTAGGACACCCGGCCTGCATCGGCAGTTTTGACCCTACGGGGTCGCAACACGTCGATGGGAGGCGAAAACGGCACCTCGGATTGCATATTGCTCTCCACATCCAGTTTTTAGCTTGGACCTTCGTCCTGTCGATTGCGTCTGCGTACACACGGGCCCTGGCTCTTCGGAAAGTGCACATTCTCGTCACGAAGTCAGGCTGTGCTTCTAAACATGCAGAACAGTCGCATTCAGCGACACTGTTACGTTCTGCATATTGGAAGCAGTCGTAGCTGATATTCTGGGCGAGATATACCTCGTATGCGGCAACCAACAGTTTTTCGCGTTCTAAAACTAGTGCAGAGATAGTGAGCATTTTTTAGAAAGGAACGGGAATTTGAATTTGAATGTAATAGAAAAACACGATCACAAGTAGTATTTTCAAAAGATTTCAATAGATAGCGTAGATGCGTCCGTTGGAAAGGAGAAAGAAATTAATAAGATTGTGCTAACTCACAACACAGTTGTGTGCTTCATTATTGGCTTTGTTATGGTACAGTGGTATAGTGTTTGCCTATGTAACCTTAAAACAGGTCAGGTGGCCTAGGTCTAAAATTTGGCGCAGGAACATTTGGGCTGAAAAGACAGTATTAAACAAAGACACCAGAAGTACCATAGAACTTGAAATATTTAGCGGCAAGAAGCGCCGGCATTACTCATTACCTTGCCAAAGAATGTCGACATTTTCTGTTTCCCAAGCATCTTACACTCTTAATCTACCAAAAAAACAACAACTCGATGAAACGTTGAGGGTTCAACGACCCATTACCGCAAAAGTTTAAAAAAATGGGAAAAATTTGCACACCTGGGTTCAAGGAATACGACGATCCCAAACGAACTAGATATTTCAGGAAGTCAGAAAAGGGCTTAAGGAATTGTATGGGTTACTCCAAATGGCACAAAAAGAACTGAAGTGACTGAATTGAGATTTTTCATTTTCCGCACCGATTTAAAACAAACACAGTATATATTTCTATTAGAAATTAGGGGTTGGTATTCGGTAATATGTAACTGCTCATCAAATACGGACAAACATACCATACGCTACAACCAACAAGAGTTTTCTTTCCAGCCAAAACGGCTATAATGATCATAAAGTACAGGTAATTTTAATAGTTTTAACAAAGTTTGCTTCTAGTACACAATGAGTAAATACCTGGATCATGCGATTGTTTAACGGCTAGCGCTGCATACGATACAAACAAAGCAACAGTTGCTTTGTTGCTGAATAGAACCATCTTGGAGCAGCCAAAGGTAAAGCAATCTGTCACAAGCAAATGGAGACTTCTCAAAAAAGTCCAGGGTGGAAAGACCCTCCTAAGAGGCTAGCTGCCCAGCCGCCAAGCATTACAGGTTCGAGAAACAGGCTTCATTTTGTCAAACCTTTTGTGGACACGCACGCGCCTACAAACGACGTCCGGACACATACGAGCCGCTCATTATCGAGACGGTGTCGATCCTCGAGTGCGCCCCGTTTCCACAATGCCCGCTGTTCAATGCCGCGAAGATAGGGCGAGTCCGTGACGTAAGAAAAGCAAAGTGCACACGTCTCTTCTTAAAGGGACAGGGCCATTTGTTCTGATATCAATTCTCGGCTAAATAACCTCGAACCTTCATCCTGCGTCGATGTTATACTTGTTTCTATTGTTTGAATTGTTCACATCTTTCCATGTATTGTAGAATTACTTATAGTACTACGGGCGCATGCAAACGCTGTTTGAGTCAGCGCTTAACCGTAGTAACGGACGTAAAACTCGAAAATATTTATAGGTGCCAAAAACTGGCCCATAACGAGGGTTCATCAGTCACATTTTAGCCTGGCTATCGTCACCTGTCGATCATTCCAGGTTATTTGCTTACAGCAACTGAAAGTGCCAAGGGAAAACGTATTCAGCTAGTTCTCTAAATGCCAACTAAAAATGCGGTGCCTAATACTTGATCAAAGAGGGCACATGGCTATAGTGAAGACAAATTACTTTCAACGGAAACCTAACTAGAAGACGAATAGCTTATATATATATATGTATCTATTAACTGTAGAGAACACGTGGCGACCTAAGCTCGAACCCGTTCGTTTCTTGCTGGCAACCGGTCGTCTGTTATCATAATGCGTAACGGCAGTTCTGGATGTAAAGGGCGAAACATTTATATATTTCTATAATCGTAACATTAAATAAATTATGTAACAAATCACCAAAAACGGAGAGACGCTACGGCCGCTTACTCGTATATCAAAATATTCTGTTGACGTTCTCTATCTCATCTGACTTTCAAGACCTAAATAGCTTTAATGCCCATATGGACTATCAGCAGATGTTTCACATACTGACCCTAACCTAGCTATTACCTCGAAAACTGCAAGTCAATGTTTTCGCGCGGTTTCTGCTCGACATTTCTATGTAGAGTATTGTTTGTGTGTATATTTTCGGTACGACTCGTAGCCCGTAGATGATATGTTCACGGTTCGGTCCTATAGAGCCTTTCGGACAATGAATGATAGGAGCTGATTATTGAATTTCACATTTAGCGTACAACGTAGCCTGTCGAAAGTTTACTCTGTAAATTTCAATTCTGCCTATGTTTTCTTCATCTTTCAATGATGTGTTTTCTACTTTAGTTACCTAGTTGAAGTGACATTATTGAACCAAGAACCTGTAAAAACTCCGCTAATATATTTTTTTCTATCAATTAAACTTAACGCACAGTTCTATAGAGATTTCCTCCCTCTGGATATACGTATAACAAAGGATGGGGCGAAATTTTATTATCAGTTTAAATAAAAACTTTTTGATAGCTAAAGCGTGTTCTCCACGTGTGTTAAGTTAGGGGGAAGTGCACAAATTGTTGCATTTATTAGCAAATACGCATCCAAATTTTATTTCTACAAATCCATAAAAATATGCTATAATGCCAAAATGCCAGTATATCTAAAACGCATTAGCTGTAACAATGACCACTGGGGTCATTCAATTGAATAAAGAATACCCCCTACTAAACGCACTGTGACTTGCCTATCTCCCGACTCCTTAACAAATGTAAAGTTAACATTTTACAATTGTAAAAAAGCAAAAAACTCTGCTTGGAATCATCGAACAACTTTTAACCAGCTTACTTATGCATACTGCCACATATCACAGTATCGAAATTTATCAGAAAAAGTGAAATGTTTTTACAACATACACACGCAAACTTCGTCAAAGGTGTAAAATCGTGAGATAGTTTTTTATTTTTTGAACTTCTGAAAAAAAAATTATTTGTCATATATCTAAGAAAAGTATACTTTTTCTGAGTATCTTATAGCCTTGGAGGCTAAAAAGATAGCACCCCCCGTATCGATGGAACAGCTAAGTGTGTTGAGCGTCGTTCCCATTGAAGAATTACTATACTCGTATGATTTATATATATATATATATGATTATAGGAAAATTTAAGGTAATGATTCAAGGGTTGCTGAATGTCTCATTTGGTAACTAACTTGGTTAGTTGGAATTCATACGAAAAGCAAACGAATTGATCCTAAGACAATTTGCAACAGACTTTAGAAACATATATACCATATAAAAATGCTTTAAGGCTGTGTTCGATTAGTGCCCTGAATACGGGTGATCTGAAATCTACCGTGCGAGGGTAGGGGATTACAATACCCACTACCTATTTTATCGTTCAAGCTTTTGTAGGAAAGCTAAGTCATGTCTATGCAGAGTTTCATTCAGGCCAGTAGACATGCTTCTCAAATCTGTAAGCAAACACACGTTTTCCCTTGCTATTATGAGGACAAATTACAACATTTACCTTCAATCCCATAATTGCTTCTTTCGCCGATTCAATGTGTGATTCGCAGGGCCCCTCGAACAAGCAGCTTCGCAAGTTCGTAAGCCAGAGGACGTCATTGAACGAAATGTGCCGTCTTCTTCACTCATTGAAAATCAGCCTTGCAAACCCAGACTATCTGCTTTTCCTTTTCCCACCCTTGGCCATTGGTGTTTCGCAGGCTACAAGGCTCAAAACTCTCAAGACACTGCTACGGGAGCCACGAGTTGAACGCGCTTGATACACACATGCGACCCTCCAGCTAATATCTTTCATCTCCTAGGAGCCATCTCTTTTTTTTTTTCTTTTCATGTTTCTAACGACACGATGTCTCAGGTCGTGGCCATCATTTTTCGCGTACCAATTTATTTCTTATGTATCGTCGCATTTGCCTATTTAGTGTATTTGTCGCTGTTGTTCACGCATCCTTTTCCTGGTTGCCGCCTTAACCATGGCCTTCACAGAAAGTAACTGCCTCTTAGAAATGATTGTCGAGACCAATGTACGGCTTACACAAAGCTACAAACACGCTTTTGCTTGGCGATGACCTCTTGAGAAATCCAAGCTTAGATCATGTACAGCCAACGTTGGAGGTTTAGTCTATACAAACAGACTCCTAAAACTTACTCATTATAAATGGAAAGGGAAAGATCAAGCAGCCTAAGTCAACATGATAAATAAATAGAGAAACGAAAGTCATTTACCCAAAAGAGTAGTCGTATCACCCGCCGATTGTTTTCCAAGCAGCATTGGCGAAAATAGGGCTTAATTTGTTGCTATCATCACATATACATACAGGCATAGTAAGATACTATTTGGTAGCTAAAGGTCTATACGAGGTATATATTCGAAGACGACATTTTGCGGGATCGAGTTGATTTTTGTTCATAAGTGTTAGCATGGGAATGTTTCCTTTTACATGGCGAAAATTAAATGTTGATAAAACGTTACGTATTTTTTTTTATCTACACGGCGAATTTGTGACCGGGGTAAGCAAAACTGCTAAACGGTAAGCCTGGCATAAAATTAACTGTATTAAGCGTTCTTAGTGGCCATTGTACTCAAGGATGACGCTGATATTCTCGCGTTTGGCTCAACGTAATCCAGCCTATATAATTACATCAAGGACTATGTATGCTTATTTGCTAGAGGGTAAGCATATGACAAAAAATTAAAAATCTACTTCAGGCACATTTTTTTGTTGCCTATTAACCTTCCTATTTAATCTGACCGGGTTTGTTAGGCTCTCTCGTGCATCGCGTGCTTCAGCCGGCCTTATAAGCGTGCTATGAAAGAGGCTAGTAATGCGTTATGTCCATCCCCAAATGATGGGAAATTAACAGGAGTAAAGCTCATTATCGCCTTGCATTGATCAAGCATCTTAGTGAATGCATCCAAATTATACAATTCCTTAGAAGGTTTTGTCCATTTAATACTGAGAGTGCCTACGCTCTTCAAAGCAAGAATATGTATTTTGAGTATCAGAAATAAGTGCCCGGAATGAGCTTCGTAAATAAACAGATTTATCCCTTGTATAGTTTCATCATTAGCTTAGAGTCTGTCGCTTTTTTATTATGTTTTTGCTGGCATGCAAACGGTTCTCAGCTGAAGCCTCGAAGCGCTCTGAGAGTCATGTCCGAACTATCTACGGCAGTTCCTGAAGCCTGCATTCGTATCTCGGACTAGAAATGATAGCAAAGTAGTTTGGAAGGACAGGACCTTATTATTAGGTTAGTACTTTGAGCCGAATCTAGGTAACATTTTAAAATAGGCTTGAAAATCAGACAAGTTTCTGGAATCACTCTACGACAAACACGCAAATGTTCTGGATCCTAGATTACAGTTCGAGTTTGAGAGGCCTGCTGTGTTGTGTCTAATGTTCTAATAGCTTACTTTACTTATTTACGTCCTAAATTTACTTGGTCCGAATTCTCAAAATATCGCCGCGCTGTTACACCGTTAACATTCAATGGAAAATTCACAATAATAATAGAGATATCACTATCATAATTAACTATAGTAAGTGTTGGAGTTTGTTTCACGAGTAAAAAATGTTTCTATCTAAATGCTGGCCAAACGATTTTCCGTTGGCGCGCACCAACCTCTTGTACCTTTAAAACTTCCTACGAAGTATGCGACCAGGTTTCTTGAAATTCCAGCACAACCTGCTGTCGCATATACTTGTTTTGTCAAAAATAGCAAAATGGATACCTTTTTCACTCAGGTTTGTTGAGGTCAATGTTGATGTGGAAGATACCGAGGCTTCGAGTACCTAGAAATTCCCTCCATCTAACATTCGAGACTAAACAGGTTCTGAAAAGAATCACTGATACCGTACCATCGGCAATGTACTGGGTGAGCCAAAAATCCCTTGATAGTGAAAGCCTCCTCATTTTACAGCTGTTAAAGTAAGAGTTCTTATAATATCGAGCGTATTTATTTATACGATGCATTCGTAATAAGGCCACTATAATACAATACAAGGTATATTAGAAAGTTCCTTAGTATTAATCGAACTACGACACTGACTATCATTGTCGTAGCTTTTGCATTTTAGGCATATACTAACACTGCGGCCTCATAGCATCGGAGCCAATTTGATTTTTGAAGCTCCTTTAGTGTAAAACCTATTGGATATATTCTAACACTTTTTTCTTTTTCTTTTTTTTTCCAATTTTTTAGACGTTTGATGAAAATTGAAAAAAAAAATGTAGATCACCACAATCAGTGAAGAAAGAAAATCTTTAACTTCCAAGAAACTTTGTCAAACGCAGAAAAAGTAAGTAGTATCTGATCTTTGCCTCAAGTCGCATATGAAAAATGATGCATTAGTTTTCGCTATAAACAGTTTTTTTTTAGAAAAAACTAGCATTCTTCCGATACCAAGAATAACGGGTAAATGCGTACTTGCTAACACAAATCAATCGATCAAATGTTCCACCCTGTATATATATATACAATAGGTTTTACGTCTCCGATGGTATAATGACACATTGCTTATATCTATTATATAGTATAGTACTAGTAAATAATGATAGAGATAGGCTAAGTTATTAAACTGTTTTTGTTTGCCTATAAAAATTCGAATCGCTATTATAGTAAGAGGTCATTGCAAAAATATCAAGTTGGTCATGCTTCGGCTCTATTTCAACATATTTCCATTACCCTGATTTACAAAGAGGAAATCTCTGAGCAGATATCTCAATTGCTATCGTAATCAAACATCAATAAATACTATTCGTGTGTAATTACCGTTCCCACTGATTGATCGGTATCCGTTGGCAAATATGTGGGACAATCATCCCCTATTGGTAAAGTAAGCCCAGTAGGAGCACAACACTCGTACGAAGCACTCGCATATCACCTTTCACAGATCTTTCGCTTCAATCTGTCTTCTGTGTGCGGCACATACGTATGCTCAGGTTCACGCCTCTCGAAATCCGAGTCACGAAGTCAGACTGTGCTTTCAAACAAGCCAAGCAGTCACATTCAGCGATGCGGATGAGCCGAAAAGGAGCTTCTGGCCAAGCTATACCTCACGTGTTTCGCCTGTCACGAAAAATACGTACGTTCATTTACTTGGAAGCCGCTGGTCGGTGTCCAACCTTCACTCTATATTCATAAAATACAAATAAACGTCGAAAGTATGTTTGTTGTAGATAACGAAATAATAAATTCATTCAAACGGTAATTTCTGTTTATTCTTTGTGAAAAGACCGATACGGCACATTAATATGAATATTCACAGAATAGTAAGACCGAAATTCATGACCGCATTTGTCTAGGCCGCGTTGCCCTTCATAGGTAACAACGCATCGCACAAACAGGACGGTTCCCAGTGAAAAAAACTCGTACCAGAACGATAAGTTTTGTTCGTGCATTTCCAAAAGTTCTCTTTGCTGACTACGTTAAACTTCAAGCGAATCCTTCTAAACGTGTCTTGATCATTTAATGTCCTTGCGGCAAACAACACACACGGTGCGAGCACCATGGTTCGAGGACCAGACTTTAGTCTGACGGCTGATCGTACTTTCGAAACCTATAGAATATGTTTCGGATCGACAATGATAAAACTCAGAAACAATTCGTGATGTCTCTCTGCGATTTGTTCAACCTTTTCATATATAGGTCCAGATCTGTATAAGGTCGTTGTTTCGAAATAACAGTGAGCGTAACCCGCAAGAGCCGGTTATTCAATGCGGCGGTAGCTGGCGTTGAGGCAATAGAGTGACACGGAACAGAGGAAAAGTAACGACTCTAGAAACCGGCAGGATGCCCACAATCATCTATACGACTGGTGTCATTTGCTGGTTTTCGACCCGCTATAAGGCACAACTGCTGTTGTGCTGACAACGTAAGATGGCATTCACGGACCCCTAAACATAACCGTGCTATATACTATAGCTTGCATAATATTGCAAATTGAATTCGCATATTCAACTTGATACAGAAAAGGACCTGTTCTAAGTGTTTATGTGCTTTTGTCAAAAACCTTTCCCTCTTCTATATGCATAATCAAAAACTTAAATGAAATAATAGTAGTAATTATAACAATATATCGAATATATATATATATATATATATAAAAGATATCGGATATAACTCAGTTCCTGTAAATAAAAATTAAAGTAGAATTTATTGGCCTAAAACAAATCAGTGGGATTACTCGCTAGCTTCGGTAACAAAGGAAGTTAGCTGTTTCGCGTACACACAATCAGGAAAGAGCTTCTGGAGATCAAAAGAGACAGCTCAATCTATAAGTTAGAATACAGATTTATTGCATAATAAACATTCTGATCGAAGTTTTAAGACTTGTTGGACTTTCCACTGATTTGCCGTGGACTTATTGGATTCAGGTCGTTTGGCCAAACTGGAAGTTGTCCACGATGCGGTCTCGAATGGCAGCAGGCAGCCGCCGGAATTTCCGTTGACACCGGGGTCCAAAACCGTACAGGTCTGATGTAGGCAGACAAGCAGGGCAGTTCCTATCGTCGACGGGGTAACGGCCCTCCTTGCTCTCACCACCATCGTGTGGTGTGCAGCATTTACGGGGCATGTCAGGACACGCATCGAAGTCACAGAATTTCCTGTATGCAAGAAAATCAAACTTACTGACGCTATGAACTTTACGTTTAGTAGGCATCTTAAGATAAAGGAGCGGAATTAAAACGGAAGGATATAAAACAGCTGTATCGCACACATTAAAGCAAGTTGGTAACGAGTGAAACTTTCTGCAACCATCGAAAATCAACTGTTGTGACTAATGAGGACGAATCTCATAATTGTTTAAAATGAAACGTGTGAGGTCTCACAAGAAATAGTCGTTGTGCCCCCAAAAGTCCGGTCGACTTAGTTCTTTCGTGGCTCGCACTAGACGCCCGTACTCACAAAGCCTCTCGCGAAGTGCCTTCGTCGATGGCTCGGACTGGAGGCAAGGTTCACAGTCGCATGGGTTGGCATTACGAACAAGAGCATAAGAAATGCATTGACGATTTAAACGCGCTTTATCCATGGCAGCTACGAAGAGGGAGTATCTTTCGAGCCAATTTAGATTTGATGGTTTCCTAGCCGCATCCGTTTCAGCTAACAAACACGAAGCATGTTGACCGACCGTCGAACCGGCTAAAAAAAAGTGGAAAATGATCATTTTGAGTTTAATGTAACTATAACGTAACGTTATTCAATTCGGCACAGCGTATAATAGTATTCTATAAGAATGACCCCCCCCTCCACCCCCGATACGGCCAAAGCGGCCTCGTTTCGTTAGTGCCCTTGTTTAGGGGAAAGGTCGTTGTTGGAGAGATTATGCGCCGCGAAACAACAATGCCAGTCGTGTTTCGCGTGTGCCTAAGGCTTTCGACACGTTGCCCGTACTCAAAGCAGCAGCAAAAACTGTGCTTTATAGGACAACGGCTTGTCACGTTGTTGAGCACATTGTTCGAAGGTTATTTCAATTATACTTGCATAAACTGTCAAGCTCAAATTCAAGTGGTGCCAAGTGGAAGCAGAACTTATATATGAGACAGTGTGCTACCTAACAAACAATCGATTCTTACATTGACGCGTGGGTAAACAAACAGGGCATCCATGTTGCGTTAAGACTGTTGGCTGTGCGGGATCGCAGCACTTGAATGGATAGTGCGAACTGCATTTCTGGTCGCAGATAGCCTTCCAGGGTCCATTTAAGTTACGTCGTGTCGCTACAAGATCGCCTTCGTACAACTGCTCTTGAATCTCTCGAAAACGACACATTCGTTGAACGAAATCGGGCTGAGCGGTCAGACACGCGAGGCAATCACATTCAGCTACACTGTTGTGATCGGAATATCGGAAACAGTCGTAGCTAAGGTTCTGAGCAATGTAGGCGTCATACACGGCTGTTAATAATTTTGTCTGCTCTAATACAGACATACACATCACACGCGAACACACACACACACACACACAAAGCAAGGACGGCCTTTTTATATGGAAAAGGTTATCTTTTTTTCTTACGTTTACGTACTAACTTTGTACATATTAATAACACTTCTATAACACATGCAGAACAAAACAAAGCTTGCTTGAATCCCATATCGTTTTCAGATCTATGAAAAAAAGCAGCATGCATATTCAATTCGAATTTAATGTTATACTCGATAAGTTGCTGTATACGCTATTTTAAAATATGTTTTGTTCTTTTTTTTACAGATAAAGATTGAACCGTAGAAGAAGAGGTCCAATATCAAACCCATTTCAGGGTTTCTCGGTAACAACTCCAAAAGAGTGTGGAACGATTCTCCTTAGATTATGTATAAAATGGATTTTTACTAAACAAAATTATTATTTGCGAAACCCTTAAGAACAAAAAAAGGTTTGGTAATATTAAATCTCTCAAAAAGGCTTGTTGATATAGATTTCGTCACTCCTTTGAGACTATTGTCCTACCAAGTTCTAAGTTTCGTAGCGAACATTTCCATTACAGTGGTAGCTTCTTTATTAAGGACAATCCGTATGTATTTTAGCGGGTAAGGTCTAGAATCATTAGCGAATGAGCTTAACACGACCGATCGAATCTAACAGGGCATTGATGTCCTAGCAACAATAAACACCTAAAACAAAGGTCTTTTTTTGATTGACAGTCGAGTAAACCCATTTATGATTTCTATGATCAACCTGTTTTGACCGTTTTCTACTAACTAGGCTTCGTTAGGTGCAAGCAAATCGGAGCAAAGCTGATCCTTGATTTTCCAACGCAAGTTGACTTAGTTAGGGATGGTCTAGGCCTGAGCTCATAGGGTATAGACAGTTTCGTGCTGATGAAATGCCTAACGGCGATACCGGACGTAAAACTCGAACCATAAAGGTGCATTTGAGTAAACTGAAATTTATAGTAAGTTACTTTGTTCTGCCTCAAACCTGATAATTAAGCAAAGATCTATCAACAGCAGAAATCAACATGCAGAGATCGAAACTAATAGAAAAAAGGTAAACATCGATTAAGCTATACATATATATATATATACATATATATATATATATATATATATATATATATATATATATATATATATATAGATGTGTTGTTCAGATTGCCCCAGTGCAGACGGCAAGATCGTTTTAATGCCCACAGATATTGTTATCGTTTCGAAAACATTGCTATCGAAAACTGAGACGTCGTTCATGTGAATATTGTGTACATAAGAATTTTTTTTTACTAACTAATTGATTATATTAGTCTACTTTTTCAGTTAATGCTGGCGTACAAATAAAAACCTGTATGTAGTAGATAAATACCTGGATCTAATGGTCTATCGGGACGCGCCATGGACATCGCAAGAAGTGTAACCGTCAGACCACTGGTAAATGACCACATATTGAATAAACCGGGTGTCAAATGCGCTAAACCGACCCTGTAACTCTGCTATAGGTGAACGGCGAGTCCTGGAATATATCCAGGGTTGCGAGCGGTCCGACTAGAAGGATAGTCGTGACGTTGGGTGTTTCTTCAATCGCAGTCGAAAAAGCGGGATTAATCTGTCATATATTTATTGTTATAATAATAATAAACCTTATTATCCTAAATAATACGAAGATTTAGAAAAAGCAGCTTCGATACACTTATGATCCATGAAACATTTGCCTGATTCATAGCATTGACAGTTAAATAGAGCTACGGTATACATTCCACTGTCCCTCTATCAATCATTTACACTAAAAACTGGCCAGATGTTTCTGTCAGATGAAAATATGCATCTGGTACAACCTTGAGATATTCCATCACAAGCGGCGTTTGGTGCACGTACGCATTTCCCGGTCAAACGATGTCAGAAGAGGCTTACTAATAACACCAAACGACATTAACTCTAATGGAAGGGAGTGTCCCTTGCTGAGATTGTGCGACAAGAGGCAAGACTCCGCGACAATTTTCGTCTTCTGAACAATTTGGAAAGCCTGAGACTGTGGTCAAATTTAGCTTTGGGACTTTTATTAAAACTAAAACTGGTTCTGATCTTTTCTTCCCGTGAAATTCAGGAACAAGCCGTGACGGCACTAGCTACTCATTAGCGTTGACATATAGCGAGTTCGTGGTAAGGGGGTGCAAAACAGGCGAAAAGGGCAGGTCACACGAATCACTAGAATCTCCCTCCCTTAAGTGATCTTGCGACTTACTATCGTCATCGTCTGTCATCATATGGCCGCCATAAACGTTTGTTGCTATTGTGCGCAGTCATTTTTCAGAAATTTGCTCTTATAACGATAAACGTCTAGCATTGATTGTTTCGTCTGGTGTTCGTTAGTTCCGTGTTTTGACGCTGCGTTTAAAGTAGAAAGGAAACCGGCGTAGGTTAGTCTTTCAAGCACTATCCATCCACCAGAAAAGCCATGAAGATTGTACTAACGGCAATGGCCCTTGTTATAAGGGCTTTCAATTTGTCGTTTCTCTAACGAGACTATTGACACCAAGAGGATTAACCAGCCAAACGACTGAAGATCAAATCATAGATATACATCTTACTTGTTGTTGAAAAGTGGATAGAACTAGCATTTATGTCGTTGCAGTATAAAGATTAAGTGATAAGAAATGGCGTATTAGAAACGGAATGTTTCTTAGAATCCAAGACGGTGCTCGTGAAAAAATAGAAAGCTGATAAGAAACGGATCCTGTTAGCTGTCCGTGAATGTGAATCCAGTTTACTTAGTTTTTATTTATTTAAAAATAATTAATCATGATGTAATAACAGAACTCATCAATGAATAATACATGTCCAGCGCACTCATACCAGATATCTCGAGGTTCTGTATTATAACTGACAGTGATTTATGGTCGAGGACCTTATCGTATATGTTCGAATTAGCTACGTAACACGTCTACAGCTACACGTAAGCCAAAATATATTTGAAGGTCTCAGCTGCGGCCGGACGCCACTGAAGTATTGGCGCACGGGCAACAGCGTGTAGCTTTGTTCACGGGAAAATCGACTCTCATCGTCGGCTTCCTTCAGCTCTCGGTGATCTTTCTCCTCGATGGAAGAATTGGAAACAGACCGAGAGGGGACACAATAGGTTAGGATGAAGATGCACAGGAGAGCGCAGCCCTAATTGTTAATGGTTAAACTCATTTAATATTAGGCGCTGCCTGAAGAGTTCCGTCGCAATTATCGAACGAGCGACTATTCGATCGGATATCAGGCACGGTTCCTTGAATTCGAATTGGCGTTCACGGCCTACTAGAAGCATCCATCCGAGGAGAGTTTTGAAGATCACTGCAGCCTTATTCTAAAAACTGTATCACAGGATATCATAGCATAGCATTTGTGCATAGGCATCATAGCATAGTTGAAAAAATATAATTAGAATATATGGCAAGTCTTTAATATATATTTAATAATTATGTGCGCTAGTTATTTTAATGATCATATCAAGAATGCTATATGTCAAGATATCGTTTACGCTTTATTATTAAGTATGTACAGTGCGAGAAAGTTAACTTGGAATTGGTTTTGTTGTCTTTCATAAATCTTGTTTATTAGGTAGCTTCGTGCAGCAGGGCTACAGCTCTTTGAGGTTGCTATAATAGAAAACACTAATGAGGAACTCAGTGGAGGAAAGACAGGACAAATAAAATCCCCAGGAATTCTGGGCTTGCGTTTTTGTCAGTGCCGAAAGCGACCAGACGTAGCTGCCTCTAGCCTCACCGACGGCTATAACTATATAAGCTGTGTAAGTAAAGGTGATTATTATATTGTTTATTTCAGCTTGCGGTGTACTGAGGTTCGGCCCCTTAACTTGGCGGGCTTTTGCTGGTAACGGACTGCTTGCTTTGCTGGGTCGAGTATTGCCTAATCTATATATTGAACCCAGATCAAAGGCAACCTTAACTAGTAATCATATTTAAAGACATCTTTTCAGTTTTTTTTTTCATCATTAGTATGTCGGGCGGGCAACCGCGAGAAAGCATTCAAAAACGAAATAAAACGCTCGTTATTTAGGAAAGATCTCGGATTCGTTCGTTGATCCTTTTATACTGAAGACATGCCAGACGGGAGACAGCTTACGATTTTTTCTATTCTACTTCGACTTTAGTAAACGACAAAAGGTAATTATTGCATTAGCTCCTGGACGCGTTCTTCGTGTCTGACGTTTCGCCCTACAACGTATGATAGAAAATTGTGTATCCGTAAATCAGGTATGAAAAACAGTTGCCTCGGATCGAACGACTACAGTGTACCGGTTCGTTTAACCGAAGCACGTTCATATTCGTTCCGACAAAACGTCTACACCTGTATTGCGACCTTGAAAAGGCGCTACCTGTAATGTCAATTGAAACTATTCAACGTTACGTGGCTCTGTATCGGCGTATGTTGACTTTAACGTCATCCAAAATGTCGAGAATAGAGAACTCCTGATTCTGAAGCTACTCGAAACGGTTTGAGCTGGTTCAAATACTAGCCATTTAGAGGATATGAGCCTTGTCGTAACGAACGCTGTGGATGTTACTGTTGGTCAGAGATCGTTCGCGCTTGCTAAAGGGGGCGGAGTGAGAGATCGAGGGTTGCGCGGTAGAGGATTTCCTCCAATTTGATGAACTTGTTGGCCGCGCGAGGGAGCGTGTGCTGTGATGATCGTTGGTGATGTCTTTCCATTTAGTTCTCCAGTGCATTCGCAGGTGCTAGCAGGGGTTAAATTGCACAAATTGAGACGAACAACGGTTATAATAGTATATGGCAGACTTCAGTTCTCAGCTGAGAGATGAGTCATTTATTTGTATCGTTCATTGTAATGGTAGTTTTTAATGAAAAAGTAAAATAAGTAACTACTATAGTGTGCCCGTTTCCACTTGCCAAGTTACCGAGAGTAAGTAGCCTACTTTTCCACTCTAAGATGTTTGCTTCATTGCAATGACTATAGCAGTTCGAACTATTTATCCATTTAAAAGTAGATTATTGTAAGTGAGTCTTTGTCAAAGGTGAATTTGTCTAATGGGAATTTGGCTAATATTAGCTGGGAACTTTCATCTACAACTATAAGACGTAAGCAGCATGTGTCATAACGTACCCGAGGGATGTGATTTCACTGAAGAATAGAATGAAAACCATGGAGTCAATAAAACAACGAACGTTTGAGACGATATACGCGAGATTATCGGTAACAATAAATACTTCCCGATATTCCCAGAAGACAATCGTCGGTAGCTGAAAAACGGCAAGGCGGCATACATAAATGCAATTGTGTCCGCTAGGCGAAACTTATAGTTAGTGGATACATGCACGATTCTCAAACTATTTTTCTATTTTAGGATACGTAAATAATGAGCGAGTCAGCATACATACCAACTATGACTAAAAAAATAACACTAAATATCAAGTTAAGAAAAGTTGTTTTCATCTATAATGCGTTATTTTTTGTGTATGACATTTCATACAACGGATCGCTTTGTTTTTGAGTTCGGTCGAGGTTATAAACGCACTATACTCTCTGTGAAATCATTGAAGGTATTCGTTTATTACATAGTCGCAATATAGGACGGCTTCCCAATAGCAAATTTTAACGGCAAGCAATTTCGAACGTGCAGTATATGCAATGCATGGAAAGATCCCAACTTCTTGCGTCAACTCAAAAACCTCGCTCCGCTATTTAGAACATGATAAATTAATGATTAGATTATTCCTGGCTTTCGAATTAAGCTGATTCTGAATTTATGCCTCGATAACGTCCTGTGTTTCGAACTGCTTCCCGGCCGGCGTCGTATAGACGTTCGTGGACCGTGGACGGATTCCACCATCGGACAGTTAAGCGGACATCACCAGACTTTGGATTAATAGATGTCGAAATGTTCATGTGTACGAGCATTTAAACCGCCCTAGACGACTCCACATAACTATTCTATTATTTTCTAGCAACAAGGCTCTTGAACGAATACAGCGCAGTAAATGCGTCTTTTTCTCATGATGGCTACTGCGTTCACTGAAAAAATATGAGCTGGGTTTCGGACGAATCCGTCTAACGCTCGTTAGTCAAGTACAGGACTTTATCTTGTCCGTCTGCCCCTGTTCTTGAGAAGGCAAAGATGTAATGCCATGCCGAACGTTCAGGGGATACAGGACGAAACTGGCGTCGACATAAGCTCGCTCTCCTATGAACAATAGAATAGCCGTTGAGACTAGCCAAAAAAGAGATAAAAGAAATGGCGAATCTTCGTCCGAAAGAATAAAAACGTCTATTGGGCATGCATAGGCTAGAACTTATTTGAACTGTTTTAAGCGTTTTACTCATTTTAAACTACATAGGATACTTCCGGAAATGCTAAGCATATAAGTTAATATAAAAATAACTTGCAGAACTTGCATTTTGGTTTTCTCATAGATAAAGGGACTATTCTATAAATTTAGTAACTAAAATGTTACTCAACTTATCATTCATATCAGTGTCAAAAGTTACAAATCTATCTACAAATAAGGCCGAATCGTTTCTGTATTCCATACACTCTGTCAAGTTGGATTGTCCACAAGCTAGTCAGAGCTTTTGTTTATTTTTATTTTATTTTGTATTTTTTTATATTTTTATAATATCACTTGAAATGCCCTGCAGCCCTTGCGTCTGCTAGGTCCATAACCTAGGCAACTATCAGGTGCCTTTAAGACAAGAGAGGCGCTTTAACATAGTTCCTTTTTTCCATAGAAAGAGAACACCTGAGAAAAGCCATCGGTATTTCCAGAAAAAGCATCATCAAGCATTGAGGTGGCTTTCCTTGACAAGAGGTAGGTACACACCAATGCAGAGCTTTTCGTGTTTCAGTCCGCGAGCAGTGAGCACGAATGTCTCAAGATACATGTAGCCCTCTCGACAGACTTGCAGATTTAAAGGGGAAGTAAAGAGACTTTACAATACAGCCATATACGAAGTATGTATGTACATTTAGATACAAACGGTGCAAGAAGTAAGGAAGAGGATCCTGGCAATGAATGCGCCGCTATTGTCTTCACCAGACATCCCACTAGCAGTACCATAAAAAGTTGATGTAGCGCTAGAGACTTCTAGACTCTTCTAACTTATTTATTCCTGACCGCTGTACTGATGATATTAAATCAAATATGCATATTTTCTGCCCGGTGTTGCTCAAACCCCGAGCGGATAGTTACGGCGCTGTATGACGTAGACATCGTACACTCGAGTGTACTCTCAACTTGAATTAGGGATAGATAAAGCTTTAAATTAATTCTAGAAGTTGCCGTTCTTTTTTTCAGATTCTGGTTGCAGACTAGACACAAACTTAACAACACATGAGATGTAATCCACTCTCACAATAGTTCTTTTATGGGTCATAAACGTGAGACCCACATTTGAGTGTGCTGATTTGAATTGATGATTTAATTTGCACCAGACACGTGTAGCTGTGCATCTGTATAGAGGCGTTCAGTATTAGCTCCAGACTGGCTAAAAAATGAATTTTGGTTTAAGAACTATCTAACATTGTATCGAGCGCTAAAGGTGAAAGCAAGCTCCTTATCCCTTGTATCACTTGGCCACTAAAAATAGAGAAAGCTATTTTTAACACCTCGAAAGGTAAATTTTTTAGCAGGTGCAGCCAAACAAAAATTAATTCCATGTTCATAAAGGCTTAGAAATACAATTCGTCTATTCCGTTTGCCTTTTGACATCCTTTAAGTAATGTTGCCTGGCAAAATGTTTGGCTTCATCCTATTTAAATCATTATTACAGCAAAACAGGATCTCCTGGCTGGAGTTTATAGGTCATCTTTTTTCTCTTTACTCATAGCTCCTTTAGCGCCTATTGAAATTTCACTCGTCTTCGCTTTGTCTAACGCCTTAGGCCAGCGTTCCTAAGCAACAGGTTTCAGGTCGGGCGCTCTAGGTCTCTCCTCGAGCAAAGAATTGCCTACTCTAGACCTAAAAAAAAAACAGTGATTTATTTTAATTGCGTCTCTATTACTCTACTTATGAACGTCGTTAATCTTGCTACGGATAAATCCAACCAATTCGAATAATAATAGAATAGACCAGTTTGAATTTTAAACCTTTAGTTATAGTAGGGATTGCGTGACTATGCTGTTTAGCTGACGTCAAGAGTGTCATCTTCATTAGGCTTATCCGTGACCACGGAGAGCCACGCACAACACGTGTCGGTCTCACCCATTGAAATAAAGTGTTCACTAAAAATTGTACTGATACTATAAAATAGGTATTTTATTTAGTAATAAAATGCAAAAATTAGGCAATTTTTGATTTCGTTTAAAGGTACTTGGCTTTTGTCACTTGAGCAAAAAATACTTACAGCCCGCTTAGTTGATTCCTAATTAATATCGTTCTCACAATGAATCCCCTCGAACTTAATCATCTGTTTTCTCCCTTAGCTGGCAGCGACGACAAATCGAAGGGACTAACAATTCCAGTCGGCAAAAGAGCACCATTTGGACGAATGTCTTACACAGAAATACAATTAAGCGATCCAGGAACCCTTCACATAAATTAACACGTGATCTCGACATTTTACTACCGTAGTAATGTGGTTGTTGTTCCACTATTGTGACGACTTGTACGTTGCGTGGCCGTCTGAGCTGTTACGTGCCTAGTAAAACTAGGGATAGTTTAGCTCCTGATCACTGACCGACTGCTGATGCTACCAATAGGTGCAGCTATATAATAGGTTTCTGTGAACAGGTAGGACACCTTCTCGGATCAATCGTTAGGTGTCTTTTTCTGAATAAACCTAAAGATAAGCTGATGTATGCATCACTGTTAAATGGCGATACGGTGAAATGTAAACACGTGCTACCTTGAGAAGTTCCGCTCGTCGACCGGCTGTACGGTAACATTTGCAAATTACCTGAACTTTCTACATCGCTATTGCACATCGTAACGAAGTAAGCATAGATCATCACAACGGTCAAGAAATGGATCGATGGATTTAAGACGCGTGGCTGGTAAATCCATCGTGTATTACTAGATTTAGAAAAAATCGTATAAGAGCATACAAATTCAGTATTTATAACCTGATCGTTAGACGAACAGATGACAAATGCTATAAGTCCAAACATGAATGACGACACGAATGGAAGTTGTTAATATATTAAAAGGATCATTTGTATACTGGTAACTAGATTACAGACGAATCTGTATTATCCGAGTATGTGAGAAACGCAGCCCGCTCAAAGTGTTTCCAGCATTCAGATAAGTTCATTCAAGTGATAATTATAAAGGGTTCAACACAGTCGTATTAGATCATCAGTTTCGAAGCGCGCGCGTGTAGCTTGAACGCTTGTAGAGGTTGGCCACATAACGAGTAACTATTTCGAATATAGAATAGAATCGAATATAGATAGGGACAGCCTTTTCGAAATTAGAATGCTATCTTCAAGTTCTGTAACCATTTTAAGACAGAACACCAACAAAGAAGCTAACTGAATCGCAAATGGCTGCTTGCCTTCGTCGTCGCTGTGCACCGCCGATCCCGATCCTCTGCAAGCTGGATGTAGAAAGTTAGTACGTTCTTATTCCTCACGCAGACAAGGTCCACCATTTTGAATTCGGAATTAGGTTAGTACAATATGCAGAAAGCGCACATATCTAGCTCGCTGATGTCCAATAATAAACTCAAATGAAGAGTACTTACCCATCGGAAGTCCATAGATCATAATACTCTTGATTTCATTGCTGGATCATAGCCCGCTACAGTGGGGTAGCTAAGATCCATCGAAACCAAGTGTTTGCGTAACTTTTAGCTTTCTACATGTACATATTGTGGGTCGTCTACGTTACGGATCAATCTTCACCTCCTTCACGGCTATCACGACGACTAATTTCATAACAAGAGAAATGGTTATTTCACAGGATAGCTTGTACCCTGAACACATGAATGTTTACACGTACCTGCTTGATAACCCAACAGACGATAAAGTTCAGAAGCAGAATGACAGAGAAATCTCTCATCCAGTCTTCACTAACGTGTACATTCCTTTCAAAGTTTTGGGCAGTCTTGAGTAGTAGCAGGAAGCTCCATGCCATTGGCACTAACAAGTTCATAGATGCTAACGATATTTTGTACACGATTTGGTATTGTTCATTCATTGTGTAGGGCTCGCAGATTTTCTCTGTACATAACGAAGATATGAATAGGCCTATGTAAGTAGAAGAATGGATTGTCCTATGCCTTGCTATTTACATAAACTCTCAAATTGGCGGCTCTACATCGATATTACCTATTGTACTACATTACTTTGAACTTACGATAAAATGGAATGCTAATGCCATGAACTAGAAAGCTGATAGTCCATACGGCCAATATTAAGAGAGTCGCCCGAAGTCGTAGGGTTCGTCGTTTTACACCGCGTCGCCATGCGCTCCTGAAAAATATTTCGAGGCATAGCAACAACAGAGAGTATCCCGCTGAAGTCCACGAGGCTTCTTCAGCCGAAACGGATACGCTGCACCACCAGGTGTATTCACGCATAACCATAATTCCGACAGCCTCCACCATCGATATCAGAACCTGCACTAGATCGGCGCATAGAAGGCTTAAAACAAACTTGATTATAGTGCGATTCCGAAACGGCCAAAGGCAAACTATCAGGCCTACGTTGAATGTCGTTACTAGACCATATAGGATGTAGATGGCATATGCCGGGATGTCCACGACTTCGTGAAACGTATCAAGTCGCATTGTGATCAGCCTAAATGCGTGCCTAGCAAAGGCACCGTGAATACGCGATAATCCCACTACACAGACCAAACAGCCATAACCAGATACCTTTTCGCTTGTATTCTGTGAAGTTGCTGGTGTAGCTGGGTTGTTTTAACGTCCAGACGGACATTTAGTTGGCATCATCGTTGGCATTCATTAAATGTCTGATCGCCGCAACGAGCGCTGATAGCGACATGGCGAGTACAACCCTCAGTCGATATAGTCACACCGAGTTCGTGAGCTTTCGCTGCTTTTTCTTCAACAGAGTACCCTTCCTTACCAATTTGTAAAGTATTTACGTTGGGATCCAATGACACACATACACTGTACTCTTGAATACGTGGCGAGCCGCTTCAAGCCCTTTGTATGAGTCGAACTTGAACAATTGGCGCCCAAGTCGCCCTTGCCATCCTTTGGGACATTACCCATGACAAATCATGTAATGCGTGATCTTTGATTAAATCGTCTACACAATATCAGAGAACCGCTCGATGAAATAGAGTAGACCCAACCTATCACTAAACTCTCTGACTACTGCTTTCCTGTTTCATTTGGCTCCATTTACCAGCACCGTGAGTCATATCAAGCGACTCTACTCTGGTAGTCGTACTATGGACCCTCTCGCTGTTGTTACTCCTGAACGCGTTGATGCTGCGGTCTCGGTGATTGAGTTTTGCCGTGCGCGCCTTCGTGGTCATATCATGGCAACGTCTTGTGACGCCCTATTTTCTATTCATATATTTGCCGCGCCATCGGCTCTGTTCGCAAGCAGCGCTCTATAACGTTTGTTCTTGTTCAAAAAAGTCGATAGCGACGGCTGCCGCTGTGCTGTACACGACGTTCCCTATACAGTGCATCCTCTTACTTATTGTGCGAGATATACGGCGAGAGTACAACGTCATGCGCGATGAGTGTGTAAGCCGTGCGAACACTTAGTTTCAGGAACGGCCCTATAAGCCCCAGAAGAATGCGTACGAGGTAGAAGAGGAAGAAGAACACTGAAGGCAAGATAAACATCAATTGTATACTGGTCGCCATGGCTAAGATGCTGCTAGTCAATAATACTACGCAGCAGGAGAGATCATCGAAGCTTTCCTTAACAACATCAGTTTTGCTGTCATACCACTGTCGTTTTTATTTTCGGTTTTCGTCCACGTGCCAGGTCCCGTCGTTCCGTTGCCACGCCCAAGCTCGTAGTGGAATACAGTAACGCACCAACAAGGCTGTACTCCTTCTAGCGCTTGTCACTGGTGCAAGAGGAAAGCTCGTCTGCTGGGGGAGTTGGGAAAACAGAGTGGCTAGTTTTTTAGAAGCATGCACGGGCAATGATTGAAGACTGTCGCTCCTTTCGAATTTAGTTCATTGTAATATTTGTCTGTTGCGTCTTCTACCACCTTCAGTTGATTTATGAAGAGAATGAAGATCGTGGTAGGGATGCGGACGATGTTCTAGTTTAGATCTGTGAGGCCGCCGCCTTCCATCTATCAAGCATCCTCAGCGATGATGATTGAGAAAACATGAACAAATGAAGACAGTAGCTAACGTTAATGCTCCGTATGATCTATTGCGCAGAACGAACATGGAATTGATATAAACTAACCGGAGACTGTACGAGATGCCGTCGACACGCGTTTATACCCATGCCAATGAAAGCACTAATCGGTATTGACCAGGAGCCACCGACAACGGGGCGGCTGTGTACGGGCACAAACTTAATACACACCTAGAAATGGTCAACTATAATTTCGGGTTTAAGCAGGTAGTCACTAAATATGACCAATTGGGGGGGAGGAATAGGCTCGGGTGGGTAACATTCAGCCGGGGCAATTTTTAGGAATTCCTTCTTTTTGGTTTATGGCCTTGTCATATATTTCGGTTAATACGTGAAAGCTAATGACTAGCGTGCCAATGGTATCAATCGGTACTTATAAACATACATAATGCCGTGACTATAATTACGACGTGACTGCGATGTAATGCTAGCATTTGTGGCGATGTCCTTGGCGGGGGACCTGTTAGGCTAGTAAGATGAATAACACGATGTCTACTATAAGATGAGTGCTGGGTAGCGTGGTGTGTACTACATGACGGTAAAAGTTGATAGTGTCTGTTTCTAGTTGTATGAGTAAGGGACTCGCCCGAAAAATTATCACGCATATGATCAAGATTGCTTGTTCAAGACTCAGTTAGCGTTCAGAAAGACCTATTAAACGTAGGCCAACAATCCCTCCCATGTAAATATATTCAGCTAGACTTAACAAACCTGAGTATTATTTGAGCAGTACGAAATCGTTGCCTTAGACTTTGTTATTTGGCTCATTTCTGTTCCAACACGATGAACCATCTCAGAAGGTATATGGGTATAGATAAGGAAACGCAATCGATCCTAATACCCTTTATGATACATATCACACATATATATCTGTATATAGTATATATAGACTGATATACATTTTTACTATTATTATTACTAGGAAAAAAAATTTACATTCTCTCAAAGGCTAAATGTACCATCAGAGTCTTAAACATGGGATGGCTGCGTCACGAGGTCCTAAGCTCTATGCATTTCTTCCGCTGGAATGAGCTCACAGCTCACCTTAATGTTGTTAACGTCTTGAAACTCTGTTGCATTAAGTAAGTAACTTAATAACATAGATGGCACATGGATTAGAATGTACTTTCAATTCACTCCCAGATGAATTGGCACTATATTATCAGAAATTACCGAATAGTAGTAAGTCCTTTGCCCAAAATGTTCCGACAGCGTTAGCTAGTTGAAATAAACTAAAGGGTTTATATCGTACAGGGTCTATATTTGAGATCCATAACACACTTGGGGATTATCTCTAAATGTACTCTAAACTAAACTACCTAGTAAAAGTTCACAGTTCTTCAACTTGTTCCTAGTGCCGAGTTTACGGCCCAGGCTCAGGCTTTTGTGCCATAGGCATTTTTATTTTAAAGCGACCGCTTATTAAGCGGTAGTTCAGGTTCAGATTCGGTGTAAGTACACATCATCTACTACTGGAAGCCGCCCGTCTAAAGCAAGGCGTAACGATTTAGGTTGGGCGCACAACATGCAAGTATATACCTATCAACCGTCCTTCACCTAATTGCCCTTGGTAGCGAAAATGAAACTACAAGCCTAACCGATTATCGTACAAGGTTAAAAATTTATTTAAAATATATAGACATACTCACGATAAAAATATACAAAATCAATAGGCAGTACTGGTGCATACATAAAAGCGCCATTCGAATCCAGCCACACAATACTTCGTACATCGGTCCGATAGCAAACAGATGCTGTCAGAAATTACATCAAAAGACGTACACAATGTCTGTATTCAGACGTCTCCTCCAGAACGTCTCGTATTTTCATATTTTTTTTTCTCGTTCCTGCCTTAGAGTTTTCCCGAGTACACTTACGACGTTGAAGTAATCCTCAGGCCCGATCTTCACATACAGTGATGTCGGACGGAGCACGACAGAGTTATAATTAATTTTCCACTGAGCACGAGGCCAAAAGATCAGTACCGTATTTTGAAGAACTATTTCGTTAGAAAGACACGAAGGATTTTCACGACCCTAGTTTCGTCTGAGGCAAGACTGACGGCATAGTTGTTTTCTATCTGAACATCAATTTTCGATTCGGCTTTTTTGTACGTCTTTTTTTTTCTGAATTGATCTTCTTTTATGTCTTGTCGCCCCCTGCCACGTTTTACTCGAGACACTTCTCGACTGGATGCATGTGGCGCATACGTTTGACATATAAATAATGAAACATTCGCGTCGTACGTGTCCATCGGCCCCATCGGTTTGGTTGTGACATATGGAAATTCTAATATCAGACTGAGATAGAGAAAAGAAAAATTTGATTAGATCAAATCGTCTCATTTTGCGTTTGATCTGAGTTTAATAGTGAACATGGCCGTGAACGCCAGAGTCATCGATGTGGGTCGGTCCGATATGGCAGTGAACAGGTGTTATTTCTTGCTGGAAAGGAGAATTAAGTTGACAGAAATCAGTGGGCATCAAAATGAAGACGGGACGTTCGGGTTTTGTTTAGTAACGTAAAGATCAACATCTGACGCTTGGCCTTCTGAAGTTATGCTTTGTCCTTGAAAAGTTTGTTAGACTATCAATGACCTTCATTTTCCAATGTCAATAACGCCCGAGCCAAGACTGTGCTCGATTACAGATGCTATTTTCTAGTATCCCATATACATATCCATGGGTCAAGGTTACCACATAAAAATGCTATATTACAGAATCAAATGAAAGTGTGTTTAATAAATAGCACTCAATTTTTAGAGCTTTGCTTTGTCACCTACGTTCTGTATCCGTGGCTATAAAAAACTACGATGGATGGCAAACCAATGACGGCCTTAAGAAGAAACTCTTTGATGGTCGTCACATCGGTCACCTTTGTCCTAACTAGTTGACTTACATTCGATAGCCGGAATTGGTTTTAGTTTGATGTTATATGCAAAGAAATCCACAAAATGAAAGTATCCTTGCTATGAGGATGATTAATCCATAAGAGCTATTGCCGTTCTTAGCTAATCAATTACCTTGTAAATCTTCTTTTCAACGATGGTACGATCGTCGGTATGGTGATGCTGATGGTCGACTTGGCGATAATTAACCGGGACCTGTAAAAACGAGCCGGAGAAGGGTGATGAACGTATGTAAAAAAATTTGTTGATTCCCACAAAGTATCTCATTCTCTACATGTGTCCAGCTTAAATATACACTGAATTGTTGGGTGTGAAAAGGTCCCCTCATATTAATATGCGATTCGTTATTTTTTTTGCTTAAAATTCGTTACCTCATAGGTTCTCGTGTACGTGGGCAAACGCTGATGAACCACTGGGTCGCTTAGGTACTTTATGTATTTAGGTGACCGGTAAATGTATTCATCGTAGCCGTGGTAATGGTACCTGCCCCAAATAAAGCGTTCGTATTTAATTCATCTCGTTAGGACATGAAGCTGTGTGATTGTTTTGATCACATACTCGTGTTAAGAAAACTAACTGGACACAGATTATAATTTGGACGTCTCGTCGACATACGAGCGATGATAGATCAATTTGTTTTATTCAGGTTTATATTGGAAATATGCAATTTAGGTATTCTCGTCTCAATATTACGTCTCAATGTACGTGTGTTAAGGACTAGAAAAATCTTTCTCTGAACCTAAACAGGCGATACACACGGTTAAGCCAATCGGATTCTAAGTTGTCCAATTTTAACGGCAACGTAATGTTATCAAACTGGTTACGATAGTGGTCAATGGTGTGAACGCGCGTCAATGTGCTAGTTACAAGTTACCTGCCGGGGTGCCAATGCGGAATTCCCTGGTGATCAAAATGATAATACCCACCTTCCCGATATGGGTTGTACGCATGATCGACGCGCGACGCAGCTGTTACTGCCTGTTGAATCATTAAAGTAAAGGGGTTGCGTCAATAAGAGACCCATAGCTAGGCAAGAGGCCCTCTTCAACAGTAGATTTAACTAGATTGGATTATGGGCCAGAGGATGGCTTTCTAGGGTATACGGCTCTAGCGTGTAGGCTATGGCGTCTCAATATTGGCGACATGAAACGCTCTCATGAACCAATGACTGTTTTCGTCACTCTAAGCAACAGTAGCTCACGACATTTTGTATAAGATTTGCTAGGAAGAATGGTAGATGCTAGGATTAATTCGAAACAAAGCAAATTTAGTTAATTTAGAAAATCTATTGGTGCATTGTATTGCAATAAAACTAAATAGTATCATCTAAATTAGAAAGCTATATCATATCCCGTTTGCCCCGTTTCATTAGAATTGAAAGTTGTTGTTGTCGCTATGAGATACGTCAGCTATTCTGTGGTCAACGTGAACTGACGGCTGTTGAACCATCACATATTTTACGGGCCAAGACACGAAGTAGCCTTTTCCGTTTGTAGGGAGTTCCTTTCGTTCGAAAGGTGAAGCCTAATTAGGGCCGACTAACTGAAACAGTGCATTAGCCTACCCGTATGAGGGCTATAAAGTAGTAATTATTTGGTTCTATCACAATTCAAGCCAACGCGTAAAGCAACGGTGTCGATACACGAATTGCTAATAAAATATCGCCCTTCAACTGAATGTTAAGCGTATGCTCGGCAAGCTTCAGACGAGGTCGGCGTACTTCTCTTTGCCTGAGCCTCACAGAAAGATATATATATATATATAGAGCGAGAGAAAGAGGATAGCGGAAAAGTCTTTTAACGGCTTGAAGGTTCTCGTTTTACATCTGTTAGCATAGCACAAGGGGAAAATATAGTAAAAGTGAAAACAAATTTATACACGTATATACTTCATGAAGTCGTTCACATTGTCGATATTTATACGTTGAATTGCATTAATATATCGGATATTTGGAAACTACACGCAAGGAAAAAACATTTTCTACGTTGAGAATTTTTCTATGTTTCGAATGCAACTCCTTACCACATAGTGACGACGAATGTAAGTAACATAAGACAATAAGGGATAGCCTCATAACGACGGAAACAGCTTTTGCACGGTATTTGCCAACGTTAGAAATCGCAATTTCTTACGTTGCTGTTGCCATCGATATGCGAAAGATCGGTGTAAAAATGACAATCCCAAATGAATCAACACTAATAGAAAATACACTAGGGTCTAGAAAAGGATTAGAATTGCAGAAATGTCCGTCAAATTGGCAGCGTTGCTTCAATCCGATCACGCGTCCCGCTGAACGCCTTAACTCCTGCCAACGTGTTCGGCTACCCCCCGTACAGGATAGGCCTGATAGGATGAGTAAGCGTGTGACTGTGCTCGTTTGCTTTATCTATTATTCATGCAATGTCCGTTCGTTTATTTTCTTAGATATTGCCATTGAAGATAAGCAAAAATGCTATTAGTTTAATCTGACTAACGAGCATGCTCGCAGGTAGTTTCCCTAGTGGGATATACGTACGAATAGAATTCAGAGCCAAACGCTTACTAAGCTAGATGAAGATAAATAAATCATAGGGCCCAGACACCTTTTTGTCTGCGGAAAAAGCAGAAGAATTACGAAGGCATTAAGCCTCCCTTCTTATAGGTACCCTTCTGCCAAGGACCTTTGTATACCATCTACTTTGATTCAAGCAGTAATCAGCTACGAAAGAGCTGAATATTTAAATGCGAAATGGCCGAATAGTCTATTCTGATTATTAAATGGCAGCAACTAAAACCCTGTGACCACTTGTATTCAAGATGGCGGAAACAACTTTTCATTCTTTGATGGACATTATTGAGAACTCCCTATTGAACGACAGCAGAGAGGAGCGCTGCGTTCGAAATATCCAGGAAGGTTGTGTTCATGGGGCAAACCAGAAAGACACACGCGAAATCTGCTCGTGCTTTACGTTTTATGTAGTTAGTTTGCAACAAACGAATTAAACTGATAATATTTGAAATTTAAATAAAAACTATTGAGAAAGCAGCCGTAGTGAACAACGGGGCCTAAGTGGATCTATTTAAGTTCTGATAATATATTTTGCACAGTCACTTTACTGCGTCTCTCTATATTCTCTACGACTTGGAAAGGGTTGCACACTATTTACGAGACTTTTATTTTAACTACGGCTATGGATGAGGCAAAAAGTACTTATAAACTAGAATCGATTTCTTTGTTTAATTTCTGGTACAGTTAGAAAGAACGCTACGTCCGTGTCCGTCAAATATATATTCACTCGACACCGTGTTGACGCGAAGTGATTTGTTAAAGTCTACGAAGTACGTGCTCTGTCCTGATGTATTCAGGTCGGCCAAAAGGTGATACATCAGAGATCACATTAGAAATAAGCGACGCAATGGATCGAACACGCGATCAGTGATCATTTCCATGAGAAAAATCAACGTTGCTTCCTTATGAAGCGGTTGGCGTCATTAAACGCCAAGAGGCTAGCAAACAAACAGCTTGTACCGAATAAGGCATAGCTTCAATTGTTTCTCGACCTCGGCGATGAGGTAGTCAACTCACCATAAGGATAGCAGTCACGACGAAAGGGAGATAACCTACGTTTCTCATGTCGACCGTTGTACGAGCAGCACCAAAACGAAACACTTTCTTACTTAGTATGCCATGATCGCATTTCTACAGTGAACTTATAATCAGAGACAGTTCCAATGCAGGTCTGACTTGTCAAATGTCCCTCTCAATTTTGTTCCAATCTTCGGTTGCATCTCGAATACCGCAGCCACAACCATTAAGCGCATACAGCAGTGGTCAAATGCAGATACTTGAGCGGTGCTATTCGCTGGCGACGTTCAAGGTTAGTCGATCGTCAGCGGCATCTTCCCTGAAAGGCCAGAAGATTCATTCATTCATTCATAGCCGTACCATGGGGAACGGCTTCGAGAAGCAGCATTACTAATCGATCACCAATTACTACGCGTTGCTTGATACAGCGGTAAGCGGAACAGATTTTCGTCTAGGACTTCCTTTTTGTCCGCTGCACGACAACCACCGATTTTTGCACATTAGCCAAAGTTAGAACCATCATACGTATGCGTACCTATATTGAATAGTTTCATGGTCAGTGTTTGCCAGCTCGCTCGGTGACGCCCTTGCATTCCTCTTTTCTGACAATGCGATAGTTTGGCGCACACAGAAGTGCCTGTAGCTAATGAAGGCTCTTCTCTGGCAAAATCGGAAGAACGTAAAAAATAGGGAAACAGCGAACAAAACTAATAGAATAAGCGAGTTTCAGTTTTTTCCCTAGCCCTTCGTATCATTTCGGGCCACGCTTACGCGCCCCGGCCATCACATGATATGCAGACGACTCGCCAGTAGCGCTTTAAAAATTTCTGCTTCTATGGTACTCCTCAAAGAAAAACGAGGGCAGGGGTAGACAGGCTTGTTGGCAAATGTATCATGGCCAGCTGTAAAATGCGGAGAGACTAAGATGGAAACGAAAACACAGGCGGCGGGGCTAAGCGAGCTGGACCAGCCCTTGACCAGCCGTTTTCCCTCCCTTCGCCGCAACTGCAAGGAGTGAAGCGATGATATCACTCGTTTAAAAGGATTTTTTGTGCGAACAGATTCTCTGCGTCCTTCCGTACAGGCCTGCTAGTCTCTGTTTACCCCCCTCCTTTTTGACGGTGCGTAGCACGAGTAGAATATTATATTTGCATATTCCTTTAGCAGTAGCAGCACTAAAGAAAAAGGACCAGATACCATAGAAAACTATGGCGATACTAACATCAACACCAAAGAGAGTCAACGGCAGTCATTATTTCAAAGGCAAATCTGAGAACGTCGACGTTTAGACTATGAAGAATGAAAAAAAGCAGCAGATCGATGATCTATGTTCGACCATCCGCACGATCGTTCAGTAATTAGTGCTGATCTGAAAAGTCCCCAAAATACCTGTTGATATCCATACGCCATCGTTGTAGGCTATGGCCAGCTGCCAAAGTCAATACCGAAAGCGTTTGTACAAGATCAGACGTAGATTTCGGTGTGTATGAGATATATTTACCTTTGTAGGGATGCAACGCTTTAACTAAGTACCATAAGATGACAGTCACTAACCCAAAGATCTGATTCGCTGCTTAGCAAACGGGAGATATTTGAAAAGCACAACAAGAAGGAACAGAAACATCTGCAATTTCGCCGTGGTCAGGCTGGCCAGCGCCGGAGGCGCCATGGTATAGCGCACAGTACGATGGCCCGAAGCAATCCAATTTCAGCTAACGAAGAAAGGTTACTCACCTATCGACTATGCGGAAAGAAACAGAAAACAGCCGGAATCAGAGTCGACTGAAGATGTTATTACTGGAGCATTGATTGTGTGTCAAAGACGTATGAGCAGTATTACGCGACGACGAAAAGTATCGATTATGATGTTATACAGCTGTTATTATGAAGTGGCGAATAAAAAACACTACAGGGTACCCTGTCAATGATAACAGAGAGATTCGATTGCAAACATACTTTCGCTAGAGCCTTCTTAATTTACGAAGCTTCGGCCAGCAATCGATAGAACTACCGCATGATTTTGATTTGTTGTTTCGTTGTTACATTAGCACAGTAACGAGATAAACATTGCCAAACATAGAATAGAGCAATGTGTGCACACATGGAAGCTGATCAGCGGTGCACTACGGGATCGGTGCAAAAAAGCCTGAAATAGTGATAGCACTCTCTGTATGCGAATTTTAGAGGAAACATCTGACCATATCCAGTTCATTTCGCAGATCACCGCGCTGCTGCTGCTGCATTCTTATTTAGTATAAGCTAGTCTCCCATTAGCATCTGACCCAAGACCACCACGTGTCTAGATAGGATATTGAAACCATAAAGAATATAACGAATTACCAGAATTTCCGTTGCGACAGGTTCTATATGGCCCGACACGATCGTAGCAGTGGCACAAATTACTGTTTATAGTACAATAAACGGGTGTTATCAATGGAGCATAAGTTTCATACTTTCTAAGGTTCGGGCAAGCAATGCACAAGTTATTAGTGATGATGAATGTGACGACTCAGCGTATTATTATATATGGTGCGTCTTACCCTGCCCTTTTTTCACTACGAATTAAAACGACCGCAGAGCTCATTGAGCATGAGCTCGTTGCCAATTAAAAAACATATCATCCACAATTAATTTTTACATAAATTACTACTTCGGTCGTCACATTAAGATTCATTAGATTAGACAGTTCGATATGTACAAGAAAAAAACTTGTGTGTTTCCTTAATTACATTTTGATGCATACTGTTTTAAAACCCCAAAATTGCCAGAGGCCAACCGTAAACGAGCAAACCGTTCGTTGCCGACTTTGATCATTGAAATCATTATATAATCTTTATTTCTAAATTAACATTCTATATATTTTAGAGATGTATTAGGTAGTGATACAGTGAAGCACCTAGCCCTAAAGCGCTAGTCTATAAAAGCAATTATATTTAAAAAAAAGAAAAGAGTCTCATAACCGTTTGTTGAATAGCTATGGTTTGTACTACAGGTACATTTTGCTTGTAATTTGTTTTTTTTTTAATTTGAAAAGTATATGTTATTAGCTATTATAAAGCGCATTTTACTAAAAGGTTGTGAGAGCAAAGTGAAGAGTATGCTATACGCTAAATCTATGCATTGGTTAATGCAGCTTCACTTGTTAGGCTCCTTGGCGATTTGTATTTTGGCCTATTGAAGGCGTCCTCAAAAATGTGGCACACGACAAACACTAATAATAAAGTGCAAAGTATATATATTTAATACTTTCCATCGAGACGTTTCCGATTAACGTGCGCGTTGGTCGCAAATCATAGAAAATGCGTTATCGACGTCCTTAAATAGCTCCTTAATAATAAATAGAACATTGCTAGGTTTCGACTCGCTCGGACGAACATAAACAAATTAGGAATATCCCATAGGCTACAGGCGATCTGTAACGCTAAGTCCTTGGCTTGATAGCGGTAACAAAACGCTTTGCCCTGCCTTACTTTTTCATTCGAAAAGAACGATAATAATCAAGTTTCTATTGAACAACAGCTGCTTTGAATGCTCAGCTATCAGTCCAATTTCCATGGTATCATTGCTTTTCGAATGGTCTGCATTGGTAGTCATTTACCCTGCCGCGTCCCACTATAACCATTTCTAAACGTATAATCAAATGTGCGTCTGTGTGGGAGTTTCGCCTACGGAAAGCACAGGACAGCCGAAAGGTTAAACGGCAATTTACTTACTAAAGTGCACGCCGTTGGCTTCCTCTTGTACAACTTAGTGACAACGATGACGTTTCGTTGCATCACAGCTGGCTTTGTTGTTTACAAAAGCCTAAAAGCTAGAAACTCAGAAGGAATTATATAGATGTACAGTCAGTCGCACCGAGTCAATCAGGCAACTGACCTTATTAGTCTATAGAATATATGGCTTAGCAGATATTTTTGCATTATGAATTCTTCGTAAGGGCGCTTCGTTATCTAGACGGACAAAAACAAAATAAGCTCAATTAAATGTCAACTTCGAATGTTAACAATATACGCTTAGGATAAAATCATTGTGGTTTCATCAGGTTTGTGATAAAACACTGTTGAAGCGCGCGAATATTTAAAGTAAGCACGTTTTAAAAATAATATATTTGTACCTCTGGACTGAATAAAACAGCCGGTAGTAAGAGTAATCCTCATTATTTTCGATTCTTCCTGTTACTCAAAAAGCCAGGGATTTGACATTGGCAGCCATTTGTTAAACCGTTCAAACCTAATAAACGTTAATGAATGTATAAATGACGCTGACAAAGGAAAAAATCAGCTGCACTTTAGAAATGTCACTGCTATTTACTACTGAATGGTGTTGAATTTACCGTTTACACTAACATGCGCAGACACTTTTTACTTCGTCCATGCCTTTTTGTCCGCTCGCGTAAAAATTGCCTACCTCCTTGGATAGAATTCTCTGGTAGAGCACGACATAAATTTAGCATCGTCGAATGACGCCGAAGCAGAAACTATTTCACAGAAAATGTTGTATAAAATTACATTGATATCGTAGCTAGAATCGTGCCGTGTTCAAACACTCGGAACTCCAGCCGCGAGCGGCACGAAATTGTTGTTATGGGTTGGCAAATACAGATGAACCTGGTGGTGGATATAATCGAGTCAAGGCGCAAAAATAAGCTTCACTGGCTGCACGTCAGAAGCAGTAAAGCCGCTCGATTTAGGTCTCTTTTTTGTTTGCTCCGATGCGGACACGTCCCTGTCACCGTCGTCTGGTTGCCTTCAGCGACAGCCGCTTTGCCCTCGGCGTTCGTGTGCTAGTAATATAACTACGTCGAAAGCTTCGTGGCGACTCGTTTAACAGCATCGACACGTCTTAGGCGTCTTCATGATATCGAACTCTTCTGTATCAGTGACAGCATTGACGGGAACAGACCAGACAACATTTCATTCTGATGATGCTGAACGGAAGCAGCAATCGAGGAGAAAAATGCAGAGACCTTCGGGTCAAAAGGGCTCTCTCGTTCGTCGAAGACGATGCGCATACGCCTTGAAGGACTTCACGATTACCCTGCTACCTGTATTCTAACGTTGGAGTAGAAGAAAAGACTGTCAAATGTTGGTATTACTTCCTACGCTAGGAGGTCCTCATAACTCTTTTTGACGTCGGTTCGACAGCGGCTCCTCTAACCGCTTGATCGGATAAGGAGCTGTAGCACCCGCCTAAGGGAAGACAGGGCGTCAAGCAATCCAATAAGAAATAGCCTTGAGCTAGGATTTTCCAAAGCTAGGCGTCGTGGTCCCAACAACTGCAATGTTCGCTTCGTAAAATAAATAGACTATCATAATCGGGATGAAGTTTTTAGGAACAGCAGTAAGTTGGAAGTAGACTGGGGTATTTTTTTGAAGGTTTGGCAAAAATTCAGCCGCAATGCTCCACCTCCAATTTGGCTTGTGATTGTGGGCTTAGTGCATATCGTTGGACACATTAATCGATTTCGGTTGATAAAAACACCAAGTTAACCATTAAGGTTTGTCAGTACTTGAATAACACTTGATAGATACAAACGTTAAGAACAACGTATGAGGAAAGACGATTTGGAGTTTTGCTTTAAGGCACTACAATGAATTTAAAATAGCCATCTATCGCTGCGTGGCAGATAGTCATTGACGGTTTCAGGATGTTCTTTCTGGAGAACGTTTTTTGCCTGGCGTTAGCAAAATGGGAACGGATTTACAATCCGAGCAAGTCTCTTAGGCCAATCCCCGCTGTATGTTCGGAGAATGCATA